CGAAAGAGAATCAAACTCATCATAAGCGGCCAGCCCCTTATCAGCCGAGCATGGAGAATTGGAGATGAAAGCCTCTCCCAATTCTATATTGATATGGAGGAGCGTCCGGAAGGGTTAGTGGGGGACCTCCAACGCTTCATCGACTACAAAGTGGAAGATCTTGTCTACAATGCCATTTGTTCCGAAGCATTCGGCGAGCAGTTGAAGCGGAAACTTTACAACCTAGCCGAGAACTCCTTTCTGTGGCTGAGCGTCGTGCTGGAGGACCTCAAGCAGGGGCTAAACTATCGGGATGCCGACGTACAAAGGGTATTGACAACCATTCCTGGCAACCTGAAGGATTCCTATACGAAGCATCTTCCACCAGTATCGAAAAGTCAATTGCCGCGATTGAAATGCTACTTGCAACTGCTAGTAGCATGTGCAAGACCATTTACACTCTCGGAAGTCGACGTATTTACGACACTCTATGATCGGCAGTCGGCAGAATGCATCTCTCCTGTCGATGGGGCGTTGGTGCTGAATAGCCTTCGTCGCGCTCTAGGGCCGCTGGTAAAGTTTCCCGATGGCAAGGTTCAATTCATACACTCTACGGTCAAGGGGTATTTGTTAGCCCTCCAATCGGAACCTGACCATCTCCTTCACAAGACCCACGGCGTGGATCTCGACACGGCGCATTTGCTTCTCGCAAAAGCTTGCATTCGAAGCCTGTTGCAAGAAGCAGATAGTCCCGATGCCCCTGATGAAGAGAGACTTTCCTCCGAGATGCCCTCCCCCAGTCCGATCTCTGCCCGTTCTTCCAAAGGCGAAGCCGACCAGGACGCACCTTATGCTGAATTATTCAGCATTCATGATGTCGCCTTTCTGCGAGACGAAAGCGCCATTTCAGAGGACGTCTTATCACACCTTAGCAGTCGCTACCCGGGCTACGATTATGCTACACGGTACTGGGACCATCACTACACTCATGCTGACTACCTTGCTGATGCTGCTGCACAACAAGATGCGATCAAGCTGCTGTCCTGCGGGTCACCGCGACTCTCGAGATGGTACAAATACAAAGCCAATCACTCGCCTACCGCGATGCCTGATCAGTCTGAGGTTAACGCTCTCGTTCTAGCGGCACTGTTCGATTACCCGACAGTCTTGCAGAGGCTCTTATCCAACCGTGGACTGACCGACGAAAGCACTCAGCTTCAATCTGCACTGTATTGGGCGTCATCCCGCGGTCATCTCAAGTCCATCAACGTCTTACTCGAGCACAAATCACCTCTTCTCGACGCAGGTCGTGATAGGTCAGCGTTGGCTGTGGCTATTCAAGGTGGATTTACCGAGGCTTGCGAGGTGTTACTCGGCGCGGACGATGCTGATCCCAATTATTCTGGTCTTCGAACGCCGCCACCTCTTGTCCTCGCCGCGGCCCATGACCATGTGGAAATCTTGGTCGGGCTGCTTCGGCACGGATCCATTGACGTGAATCAGACCAATCTATCAGGGCATACCGCCCTGATACAAGCGTGCCGTTCCGGCTCCGACCAGTGTTTGAAAGAACTTTTGGGAGACGACCGTACCAACATCAACTCATGCGATAGCGACGGTCGTAACGCCCTGATCCATGCTTGCATGTCAAGCAATGCGTTGGCAGTGGAACAGCTGCTTCGGAAACCGTTAGCAGATGTGTGTTTGTGCGACAAGTATGGCCGAAATGCTATGTCCTACGCCGCCGAAAAGGCCACGCTCCCGATTGTTAGACGCTTGTTCCACTTGCAAGTGCCTATAGCAAAAGAGGATGCCAGCGGACGAAACGCCATCTCATGGGCAGCGAACAGCTCCAGAGCGACGAAGCACTCGGATCATTATGGACAGTGTGTACTTGAATACCTTATCGAGAAATCCCCCGAAGAGGCGGCTGATTCCCAGGACAAAGATGGATGGTCGCCTCTAGCCTGGGCCCTGGACCGACCAGGATATCTCGAAGCTGTCCGCATCCTCATCGAAAAGGGCAAAGCAGACGTGAACCAAAGAAATCAAGCCGGCGGTCGTTCCGTGTTGGCGTGGGCAGCAAGCGAAGGCTTTACGCAGATTGTCGAATATCTGTTGGGCTTACCGCACTTGGACAAAAACGCGACAGGCGATGATGGTCGATCACCGCTGTCGCACGCCGCAGCCAATGGTAGGGTACGTATCGTAGAACTGCTTTTGGGCGACAGTGAGGTTAGAGCGGATTTGCGGGACTCGAAAGGAAGGACCCCCATAGATTGGGCACGGATGAATCATCACGATGCAATCGTCTCCCTACTGTCTGAACACGGTTTGGAATAGCACGTTGGTTGTTTCGGGTCGCGATACGATGGAGGGATTGCACTGCTTCATGCATTCACTAGAATCTCCGGACAATATTCTTTCGGCAAGGAGCCAATTCCTCGCATTCAAGGTCCCCAAGTCCGAGTTGCAAACATCCAATTCCTGGTGCGTGCACAAGACAAATTACATGAACTCTCTCGGATGAATGAACCTCCCAGAAAAGTGGTTCCATCCACTCCTAGGTGGCTGCTAGAAAGGTATGATGTCCGTCGTTCACTTCCAAAGTAGAACCTCGTCGTACTGCATTCTGGTAAAAGCGTGGTGCGGGATTCTCTCCAGAAACCAGGACAGGACGGGACGGTTGGTGCGGTCAGACAGTCGCCATGGAGACGCTGTCCTTACAGCGCCCTTTCATTCTTTCTTGCTCTGTAGTGCTAGATCTTGTGTAGTTCTCGCAACGTAGGCAAGATCTGATCGTACTTTGCTTTACAGGTTTTGTTTCTAAAACTTCGAGCGACTCGAGGTCGACGCCGTTCAACTTGATTTTAGGGTAAGCATATACAAGACATACAAAGAGGGTCAGGGCGAGAAGGCAAGAGAAATAGGTTCTCAAAGAGAAACGGGGGGAAAGATACTTGGTACAGCAGCTGCCCCACAATCGTCTATTTCCCAGCCCTGGCGGGTCCAACAATTTCGATAGTCCTGCTTTTCCTTGTGTTTAGTTTTAGTCGACAGTGAGAGCGCGTCAACATCGTATGATTTAGCTCACTTCATCTTCGTGGATAAAAGCCCTGGCTGATTGGAGGGAGGGGAAGCCAGCTTACCCTTGACTTTTATGGGTGTGGCACCGCCAAGCGTCCCAGCGAGGACCACATTACGCTCCGTTCACAACAGCAGGCCGCAGACGAACCGACACGATCCTGCCTTCATCTAGCCTCGGGCCCCTTATGAGTGCTGATGTCCCCAACAAGGAAGTCTTTGACGAGGCTGATAACCTGGCAAAATGGCTCATGGAGAACGAAAACTGGTGGCCATCCCGCAGGAGTGACAAAGTCGAACAATCAAGCCACCCGGACCGAATGTAGCGAATCAAACCTTTGATCAACGAGACGAATGTGGTGGTAGGCTCAAATTGCCTCATGCGCATGTGCAGATGCTTACTTCTATCATAAGACTACAGGCAAAGCGGCTTTCCTCCTCCGGCGTCGCGGGCCCTGCAACACCTTCCTCGAACCGACCGCGCTCGAAACGTTTCCAGGAGAGTTCTTGATGCGATATCATAACGAAAGATCCTCCTCAACTTTTGACGGTGTGCTGCTGAAGATCGGTGAACGGCTGGACATTTCGCAGCCTGCTCGCATCAGCGTTGGTCCTGAGGACACCTTACTTCCCCCCCTCATTTTTAGAAAGCGTTGAGTTGGTCCAAGTCGATTCCGAAGCTGGCGACGTCAGACCCGCCTGTATCAAGAGATGGTGTAGTGCTATCAATACCGTCGAAGTCAACGCGATAGCTGCCTCCCGTGGATAAGCCGTTGTTTCCAGGGACAGAACTGAACATGCTGGCATATTCGACTTCCGTGACTCCCCCCTCCCCGATGGCGCTCTCGGCATAAGCATATTTCCCCGAGGAAGTCTGTCTTACAGCCTCTGTAAGGCTGGTCGGGGATGAAGATTGATTTGAGAAGGGTGGGTTGCTTTGACCATGAACAACATTGATCGACTGGCGTCTATTTGGGGTCGCCGCGGCTTGCACGACGGCGGGAATGCTGGGGTGCCTTTCGGTTTGATGACGCGTCCACTTTGGTTGTCTTGCTGCTCCGCGAGGGCCGGGGACGGACGAGGTATGTTTTCTTGGTTGTTATTGATGGACGTTTCCTGTCCATTGCCTCAGCCATAAACAGAAGGTCAGGATGCCACTCAATCGTGTTGATAGACCCCAAGAATGCTTTCAGGTCCTCATCCCCCAACTCTTCTAGCTGGGGCATGACGTGGTTGTCGTCTGCTGCAGCCGCTGCGAGAGCCGTAACTGCGCGAGCCCCCCCGTGTTCAAAAAACTTGGCCTCAAGTGAAAGCCTGTCAATCTTTTCTTCCTTACATGCTGAAATAACAGAATGGAGGCGATATGGGGTTGACTGTCGCTTAGCTTGTAGAGAGCGGCGAAAAGCTTCCCCAAGTTGAATCCTCTTAATGTTTTGGCCATCAAGTGGAAGCAAAAGAAGGGCAGTAATAAGAGTCTCGCGCAAGAGGTCAGGTTGGGTTTTACAAGCGTCCCGAATGTCGAGGACAGAGCCATCGAGCATCACCTTCAAGGAAGAGGGCATGTTGCGGACACCGTTGGTAGTGATAGGTGGCTGGGAGAGTAGTTTGCAGATGGACGGATGGATGGATGGGATATAGTACAGAGTCTTGGACGGCATTTTTGGTGGATATAATACAGAGTCTGAGACGGCATTTTTGGTGTAAGGCCGAATCTGCGGAGGAGAAAGTGGTTTGAGACCAGTTTTGAGACAAAAAAGCGTGACCCGGGCAGCATCGAGCTTATTGCACGCACAAGAATCCCAGCAGCCCCCAACCGCCCTGCCTCGGTCTGAGAATGCAGGTTACATCTGTCATCATCCGGTAATAGGCTCGACGACTCCAAGAAGAATTTGTACGATGATGACTGGCGCGCCACCATACCCAAGCTTCAACCCCTATCAAGCCTCGTGGCATCCGCAACAGAACGTAGTTTGAGTATGAGCGCAGCCGCCCGATATGCCATTGCCAACGCGTGCTGCGATGCCAGTCGACCGGGACGAGCCCCCGCCAGTGTCTACACCTATATCCGCACCACCTCCTCCAGCGCCCTGCTCCCGCATCTCGGCTTTGTCGTAGTTCAACAAGTTTCGACCAATAAGCCCATGAATCTCGGTCCACCGCTGATCCACGCTGCGCTTGTCGAGACCGACGCGCTGCGCAAGTTGTAAGCTAATCTCGCTCTTGCCCTGGCCACCTAGGCCCGAAATGACCATGCGACATTAGTGGGAGCGCGAGCCATCCTGCGCTGCGACGTGAACGATCCGTTCCAGATCGTCAAGATCGTCAAGAATGTCCTTTCTCCCGGTAAACAGAGCGTTGGGTGAACGGGGTACTACCCAGTGTATGTTGCCGTTCAGCAACGTCGATTGCTGCAATGTTCGCGCCTGCTTGCGCCAGAGCTTGGGCAAAGTTCAGACTAAAGCCGCGAGCAGCTCCTGTGGCTACCACATTCTTGCCCTTGATCAAAAAGAGATCCAGCACGTTCGAATCCATCAAGCCGCCGACTGACATTTTGAGAAGCCCAACCTTACCGGGTGCCTCGGGTGCGATTTCATCGTTGTCGTTGGGTATGCCCTCCAATGCGTTTTGAATGTCGTTCTGAACTTTCTTGTTGTCTTCGGGCATGGTCTCCCTTATTTCATCCTCCAAGGGGCTCTCGAGATGAGTCGTCTGGCAGGCAAGTCCTTTTCAGTATCCATGTTCGTCGTGCTTTGCTGTGTAGGTCAACGTCGGATATCCTGTAGCCGGTCGGTGTATACCCTTTTTTGTCTCCTTTGCGTTCCTGCCAATGTAGTACTGGTCAGTCGAACTTGGGGCTCGCATTGAAGTAGCCATGTTCGAATTCCATGACACAGAGTACTATATACAGAGGCACTTGATTCAACCCTGGCAGGGAGCGTAAGGTGTTTTCATCCTCTCCTGTTTCGTGCGCCAAGCTACCGTGCTTGATCTATCCATGGCACGTAGTGAAGTCGCTCTGCACCTTGGCGAGGCAGCGCAGCTGCGAAAAATAAAGCAACCTGAGTCTCAAATTACAGCTGCTAGACACCATTTCTATTGCCTAATCGCCCACAGCTCGCGCACGTATCCGACTTGTCCAAGCTCGACTTCCCCCTCCTTTTCGAGTCTCGCGTCACTCCATCGCCAATCATTTCTACTCCTTCTGATATGCCTGCAGCAGCAGCCACTCAACCTCTACAGCAAGTGCCACAGAAAAGCAATGCCGATACCTCCCAAGATCCAGCAAAAACCGTTCGGCTTTCAACAAGAGTGATCCTAAACGGGCACAGAGCCACGGACTTGTTCAGTATACCCGCCGCTAAGGGCCGGTCGATGGCGCAGGTGTTGGAATGGCTAAACAGACACATGTACGCATTCCACCAACGACTCTGGAGCCAAATTGGCAGCCTCCTCTTCGTCGAGGAAAACCCAGGCTTCTTTGTCCTGCAGCAACTTGTCAAAAGGAAGAAGAATCCTCGCAAGTTCTCCCAAATATCGTACAACAACACTAGGGGCTACTTCAACTGGTTCAAAGAGCACATCCTGTCCGGACACTGCGCCAATTCCGAAATCAAAATGGAAGTTCATGTCTCCAACTATCACCAAAGAGAGCTTGTCGAGCTAGGCGAGCCGGGCCCACGCAAGAAGCCACTAAAGCAACGGTGGACAGTGCGCAGATACGTGCGCTTCGAGGCCGAATTCGAGGAGGAGGAGCTGGAAGCACAGAAGGAAAAGGACCGCAAGCTTCGCGAGATAGGTCTCCTGCCCTCAATGGACGAAAGCCAGGAGGCCAAGCACTACAAGCCCAAGCAGCCACCTTACGCCATCTCCACCGTCGGTAATTTTGGACCAGAGAGCGCGACTTACATGGCAGAATGGGACTACGAGGAAGACACGGACGACGAGTATTATGGGCGTGGGGAAGAGCTAGGCGACTGGTAAGGCTTTACGGGAGGAGGATACCGTCGGCTGGGGAATGCCTCAGGGCGGCGACTTCGAGGGCGACTTCGTACAATGCCGATTTCGCTTAAGTATCCCATTTGTGCCTGGTAGAAACTTAGCACAGCAAATTTGGCTGGCGTTCGTTTCTAATAGTCACACAAATCCTGTAATTCAGTCAGCAATTGAATATTGAGATAACCTCGCGACCGCAACCGCCTAGTCTATACCATAGCTAATAGTCCTCCCTTACGTACTAGTCTAGGCTGTCCTAACCACCTCTATTAACCACTTAAGAAGGCTATAAATGGCTATCCTCCCTGAGGCATTCCCGTCGGCTGTGAGGTCGAGAATGGGTTTCTAGAAGAGGAATGCCAAGAGCCTAAATGTAGTTAGAACGGTGGGCGTTTTGTGGAGAGTAAACTTGTGGAGGCGCAAATAGAGGCGCAGGGAACACCCGAGCCAATAATGGCTCAAGCACACTTTCGAGACGAGCTTCTTCTGAATACAAGTTCAGATTTCAATTGTTCATGAGACGACTACTATTTACAAGTATTCCCATACAGATTTGTGAGGATGGAACGCTCCGGATAACCCACATAACGCCCAAGTGCCCGCAAGGCCCCGAGGTTCTATTGCAATCATGCCTTGACGATCTTGTTGACAGCTTCCTCGATACGATTGCCCAGAGACTCGTCTACGCGGCGGAAGAGTTCTGTAGGAAAGACACGCTGTCAGCGGTGGATCAGACGGACGCTCGGACGTATAACACTTACCAAAGACCTTCTCACGCAGCCAGTCCCTCTTGACGCCAGCAATGTTGCCGGCAATGTTGGCGATAAAGCTCTCTTGCGCGCCATCCTCCTTGGCCATGACCTTGTTCCACAAGGCGCGAGGCTGCGTGAAGTCGTCGTCGGTCACGCCGGTGGTAAACACGACGGGTCCACTGAGGGACTCCTCAGTGGGTTTGTATTCCGACACGCCTGCGGTGTGGAAGCCCGTGGGGTGTATAGAGCTGTTGAGGTAGTTTGGATCGGGGCCGTAGTTGGCACTGAAGTTCATGAAGCCGTCGCGCTCGGTGGGGATGTAGATGGGTACCTTGGCGGCGTTCGTGGGTAGCATCTGGTAGTTGACGCCCAGTCGGTAGCGGGCTGCGTCGGGATACGCGAACATGCGAGCCTGGAGCATGGGATCGGCGCTGGGCTCGATGCCGGGCACCAGTGTGGAGGGTGAGAAGGCTGCCTGCTCAATCTCGGAGAAGTAGTTGACAGGATTGGTGTCAAAGACAAGCTTGCCGACGGGCCGGAGAGGGTATTGCTCATGAGGCCACACTTTGGTCATGTCGAAGATGTTGACCGGACACATGGCCACGTCGGCAGGGTGGATGGTTTGAATGGACACCGTGTAAGAAGGATAGTTGCCTTTCTCAATCTCGTTGAAAAGGTCATTTGTCAGGTAGTCAGGGCTCTCGCCAGCGAGTCTGACAGCCTCTTGGTTCGTCAGGTTCTTAACGCCGCCGTCAGCGTGGATGTGGATTTTGACATAGTGGAAGGAGCCGTCCTTCTTCGTAAACTTGTAGGTGTGGCCACTGTAGCCGTTGATAGCACGCAAGGATGCGGGGGTACCCCGGTCGCTAAAGAGGAACATCAAAGCATGAATTGACTCAGGAGAACCGACGTGGAAATCCCAGAACATGTCTGCGTCCGAAGTGTGGGTGGCGGGATGTCTCTTGTGGGAACGGTTCAGCGAGGGGAATTTGATGGGGTCTCGGACGAAGAAGACGGGCTGGTTGTTGAAGACCCAGTCATTGTTCCCTTCGGCGGTCTTGAACTTGATAGCCCAGCCGTGGAAGTCCCGGATGGTGTCGGCGGAACCAGCTTCAGGTCCGACGGTAGAGATTCGAGTCAAGACCTCTGTCTTCTTGCCAATACCATTGAGGAAATCTGCATCCGTGATGTCGGAGATGTCGTGGGTGACTTGGAAATAACCTCGAGCGCCGGCTGCTTTGGCATGCACGACTCTTTCGGGGATTCTCTCGCGCGAGAAGTGGGCAAGGGTCTCAATCAGTTGGGTATCTTGGAGAAGGACGAGACCGCCGCCCTGCTTGTTGCGGACTTGGACACTGGTGTCATTTCGGGGTAGAGGAGCACCCTCTGCAAGGGTGTAGAGATTATGAGGTCCAGCAACAATCATGTTGGGATTGAATATGGTGTGGGAGGAGGATGATTAATTGAACTGTTTGGATTGGAAGTTCGATAGTGCTTAGAAGCATTCGGGTAGAAAGCAGGAGGATGCTTCTCTTTTGTATCATACAGACAAGCATCTAGATCGGGCTACTTGAGTATTATTCCAGCAACTCATGATGATTCTAGTTTCTCATGTTCCACTGCCCCCATAACAACGAAGGCTCTCATCATCGTCACCGCGTCAAGCCCGATGATAGAAGGTTCCGTATCCATAGGATTTTCCTCTCTTACTGGTTGTGGACAAAGATTCAGCCAATAGACTCGCGTTAAAGATTAGCCAGCCTTAGGGAGAATGTTGCGCGCTAATCCGTGAGGTCGGCGTGGGTGTTTTGTGGCTCCCGGCAGGCTGATAGGACTGCACGTCGACGTCATTAACCGAAGAGCGGCAGATGTTTGTCAGTGATGAGGCCAGACACACAAGCCAGATCCGGCAATCCCTTCTGTAAACGGCAGCACTGCAGTAACATGTGGTGTGTGAGGAGAAAGATAAAAGGTTGTCGACCAGACCCGCCGCGCAGAAGGAAGAGGAAGATCTTTTGTCCGAGGTTGTTCCGCAGCCTCGTCGCTGCTTTTAGTCGCAGCCACAGATCGCTACGTCATTCGTTCATTTTTCTGGGCCGCACGGCTGAAGTCCAGCCTTGCGAATCATCATAATCGACTTTCTCCTTCTCCCAGTCTTGCTCTACCGATATTCCATAACATATACCTGTTGCTTTCATAGCTAGAAGACAAGGCCATGCAAATCGACGAGGCAGCTTCGCTCCTCCTCCTTATCGGGTCAAACTAGCCCTTCATGGTGAGCTATTGACAAGCTTGTGCGCCCAGGCCCTTCTCCACCTCGGCGCCCTTTGACACCAGTTTGAAATGACCTTTCTTAAGGCCGTGACACTTTTTGCTACTTGCGCATGCTGCAGCTCCAGTCACTTTGGCCGCTCTTGTATTTTGTGGCTGATGACGAGCTGTTCTCCTCCTTATCGCTTCCGATTGGCTTCTGATTGGGTCAGTCTGGTGTCCATCTTACTGGTCAACCATTTGCGGTATGGAGCCCGCGCTTTGTAATTTTTGAGATAGAGTCTTCTGGGAGGCCATCTTACCATTGAGAACGCCTGTCAATCCCTTAACCGACGTGCTACTACCAGCCTTGAACAAATCCGCAATCAGAGATGACGCTCCCAACCCATTTCCCCCTGGCAGTTGCTGGCGGAAAGACTGTCCAGATCCCATCCGTTGGCTTTGGGACTTGGGGTGGAGGTTTGTCTTGGCCCTAGTAAACACTCAGCATGCCAGTCTGACTTCTCCTCAAGGTAATCCAGGGTGGTGCAAAGCGGCCACCTTGACGGCCCTCAAACAGGGATACAGACATTTGGATTGTGCATGGATGTACGGTGTATGATGCATCTTCACAAAGCCCCGAGTCCGACTGGCACTGACACGAATCAGGTCGATGAAGAAGTTGGGGCCGCGATCCGAGAGTCAGGAATCCCCAGATCCGAGCTGTTCATCACGACCAAGTTCTGGCCGCACTTCTCCGCGCCTGAGAATCTCGAATTGTGCCTCGACCAGTCCTTGAAGAGGATGGGCGTTGACTACGTCGACTTGCTCCTGGCGCACTGGCCCGTCGCATTCAAGCCGATATCGAGAGAAGCACTTGAAAATGCGAACAACCGTGCCTACGTCTCCAAATCCGAGAAAGGAATCTTAGTGGAACCTGGCACAGACAAAGCGGTTATTGACTGGGAACACACCACCAATAATATCGCAACCCAAGCCGGTGAGCTACGCTCATACTCACTCCCACGATAAACGGGTAGCGGCGATCGCTGACCATTTGATCAGGCCAGAAAGGGAGCTATGTTCCCACGTGGCAAGCAATGCAGAGACTGGTATCAACCGGCAAGACCAGAGCCGTTGGCGTCTCCAACTTTTCCATTTCAGAAGTCAAGGAGATCCTGCCTTACGCTCAAGACGTGCCGATGTCCTGCAACCAGGTGGAAGTGCATCCCTGGCTACCGAACAACGAGCTCATCGCATTCATGAAGGAACACGGCATCCTCGTAACTTGCTACTCGCCGTTTGCAGGTCAAAAGGCGGACGGGGAGACACTGCTTAAAGATCCCACAGTCAAGAAGCTCGCCGAGAAGAATGGTATGGACGTCGGACAACTACTGCAGAGTTGGGCTGTCCAGAGAGGCACCGTCCCTCTGGGAAAGAGCCAGACGGAAGGTTCGTGCGACTATGATCTATCTCTGTTCGTCCATTGTGACTGACATTGTCCGCTATTTTGCTAGCGCGAATCAAATCTAACCTTGCAGTAAGAGAGCTGTCGCCAGAAGACATGAAAGCTCTTGATGCGCTCGAGATTCCGAACGGCAAGGGAAGGACAATCAGCTATTCTGAGGAATGGGGCGTCAATCTCTTCACCAACTGATATGTTACACCTGGGATTCAATAGGAGGAGAAAGTGCTCTAGAGACAATAGAACAATACACATCAAGGACTCTACACGAGAAAACTTGACACTCTAGATTTTCGATAGATGAGTGCACATTCGCAAGGCTGTGGTGAGGGGTAAATTTTATCGACCTTCTCCACACTCAGTCTAACCAATATTTTTTCCTGGCGCAGCCGACGAGTTCGATCTCAGTCACTTCAATTGCAGGTTACGTAGTCCAAGCGGCACGTAACAACTCCAAGATGCCTCATAAACACAAACGCAAGCGCGACGAGGATGAATCAAAGTTCGTGTTCCCCGAGCCTCCAAACAACAAGGGTGTTCATCATTAACAAAGAACCTACGATCTCTAGTTTCGACCTCCCGCCCACATCGCGGGCGCGGACACTGTCCGTGCACCAGAAACAAGAGTCGATCTTCACCTCGGACGCAGACAAGAAGCGCAAACAGGACGCCAGAAAACAGCAGAAGAGGAAGAAGACCAATAACAATGGGGCCGAGTTTGAGGACGACACCCCAAAGGCCTTCAGGCGGTTAATGTCGTTCCAGGTGGGGGGAAAGAGGATACCCTCGGGCTTGGACGACGGGAATACTTCGAAGAAGAAGCAGAAGCAGAAGAAGGAGGACAAATCAGGGTCAAACACACACTCGGCATCGAAACCTGATGGGTTGGTGGAACATGCCACCGCCACCTCGACCTCGCCGTCCCATCCTCCTCCACCCACAACCACCACCGCGACGGCTACGACGGCAGCCAACATCCCCAAGATCCTCCCCGGCGAGTCCCTCGCAGCGTACTCACAACGGGTGGACCAGTCCCTGCCCTTGACCTCGATCCCCAAACACCGGACGCGTCTCAGCGCGATCCCGGGATTGGAAAAGATCAAGACGCCGCTCACGAAACACAACAAGAGGCTGGCGCGGATGCAGAAGGAGTGGCGCGCCACGGACCAGCGGCTGAAGGAGCAGAGGGAGGAAGAGGACGAAGAGCTCGCGGAAAAGCAGGAGGAGGACGAGATCCTGTGGCTCGGGGCCGGGATCGATCCGGCGAAACAGGCCGCGACGCTCAGCAAGAGCGGGGGCAAGGCGAAGAAGAAGCGCAAAGGCGGTGGTGGGAGGGACGTCGACGACGCGGATCCCTGGAAGATATTGGAGAAGAAGCGGCGGGAAGAAGGCCAGTTGGGCAGGCAAACGAACTTGCAGGATGTGGTCGCCGCCCCGCCGACCTTGAAACCTGTGAGGAACATCTTCAAGGAGAAGCCCGAGAGAAAGACCGGCATGATCTCGGTAACATGAAGGGAAAGCCTTGCAACTACTGTAAAGTGAAGTGTTTGAGAAGGAAGGAAATGGTGAACATATATCCCCAGGTCATACCACTGTGAAATGGCTGCCATTTGCATGAATGTTCGAGCACCTCGCGGTTGGACTTTGTCAATTGCATTGCGGCAGGTATCTCGCGGCTCCCATCTATGCTAAACACACGTCGCTTCGTTGGGCCAGAAGACGCCCTCCCTTCCTTCTGCCGCAATAGTAGGTTCAACGTCCACGTACCCAAGAGGCGCAAGGCGTATTTCCAACCTATCGATTTCAACCCCAGGTACCACCACCTCCTCCTTTACCCTGCCTCTTCTGCGCACTCAGCCGCCAATCATCCTCGCCACTGGCGAACTTATTATGCAAGGGTTGAATCCTCTCTGCCTTCTTGCGCTTACTCAAGCGATCTGTCGGGGCGACCTTGAAGAACGTCGGGGCCGCTTCAACTAGCCACTGTAAATAAGAGTCAGTACCAGGTACCAATACGAAAATCTGGGTGCACGAAGGAAACGGTTGTAAAGGGATGCAGGGTGATCCAAGACGGTTATGCGGTACGTACCTTGGGCTCGATCACGGTTGCGCAGTGCATGTACTCCTTGGTCGTCAGCACCAGTGTATGGAAGATGACATGCTCGGCTGGCTTTCCAAATAACGCGGAACTAGGATGCATGTACACGGGCGTTCCCTCAATAAGTGTTTTATACCCCTCCTGCGGATCCTTTCGCGCCGAATTTCTGAAGAACCCGGCGCAGAGGGCTTGTCGAACCTTGATTGTATTGCGGCCGCAGGACACAATTTGATGCTTATACCGTTCCATGATCGTTACAAGTTGTTGGCGTACGTCCCTGGCGCGGGCTATTTGTCGCTTTTGGATGAAGTTTTCGAAACACCAAGGATCGCTGTATCGGGATTGCTTCCATGCGTTGTAGACGTTCAGTAGTGTAAGATGGTCGCCGTGAGGATCATGGAACTTGGCCTTCTTCTGATCGGCCTGTTGTTGCTTTTCCTTGGGCCGGTAGAACACCGTCTGTACCGAGAGCATCGCCACAATGGTGAGCATCTCTTCCGAACACCCCAAATCCACAGACGCAATTAGAGCTTTTGATAACGACGGCTCCATGGGGAAATCGGCCATTTTACGTCCTAGTCTTGTGAGAAGACCTTCATCATCGAGGGCGGAGAGTGCGTAGAGTTCTTCGAGGGCTGTTAACATAGTGTTCGTCGGTGGTGGATCCATGAAGTCGAAATGTAGAAGATCGTTGATGCCCATTGCTTTGAGCATAAGGATCGTGTTCGAAAGATTCTGACGCTGAATTTCTGGTATGGAGGTAGGTAGCATTTCAGACTGATATGCTGCTTCGGTGTATAGGCGGAAGCATTTGCCTGGCCCTGTTCTCCCTGCCCGACCGGCTCTTTGTTTGGCTTGTGCTTGAGAAATTGGAGTTACAACTAGCGAATCCATTCCGAGCTTTGGATCATAGGCGTTCTGCTTGACAAACCCGGGGTCGATCACGTAATAAATTCCGTCGATAGTGATAGACGTTTCAGCGATGTTCGTAGCGATAACAACCTTTCGGCCACCAGGCGGCGCAGGCTCGAAAATCCGGCTCTGCATTTCGCTGGGAAGAGCAGAATAGACCGGTAGAATGACCAGTTCCGGAACACTAGGTCCCAAAGCCTTCATTCTTTCGTACAGAACTTCGCAGCTGGTGTCGATCTCTTCTTGTCCAGTCAAGAACAGAAGGATATCACCCGGCGGTTCGGTTAGATGAATTTGCATGACAGTCGTCAGCGCCGCGTCCAAATAGTCTTCCTCAGGTTCTCTTGAATACATGATTTCGACTGGGAACGTTCGACCGGGAATGGAAAAGATGGGGCACTGGTTGAAGTATTCAGAGAACTTGTCCGCATCGAGAGTGGCTGAGGTGACGATCAGCTTCAGATCAGGCCGCCTTTTTAGTGTTTTCTTGAGGAGCCCAAACAAAACGTCGGTGGCAATGGTTCTCTCGTGTGCTTCGTCCAGCATAATGACGCTATAGCGCCTGAGATCCGGATCCAGTAGAATCTCTCGCTGAAGCATTCCATCAGTCATGTATTTGATCCTCGTGTCTGGCGAGGTTCGATCCTCGAAACGAATCGTATAGCCGACTTCTTTTCCCAGTTCACTCCCAACCTCCTCGGAGACACGCTTCGCGACCGACATGGCTGCGACGCGGCGAGGCTGGGTACAACCGATCATGCCGTTGTTCGCATACCCGGCCTCAGCAAGATATTGGGTGAGCTGGGTGGTCTTACCAGAACCGGTATCTCCCACCACGATAAGTAACTGATTCGCTGCAACAGCCTCGAGCAATTGTTTGCGAAAGTTGAAGACTGGAAGTGACTCCCTTTGCTGCTTAATGGTCATGTCTGTCCTGCGACCGTAAGACTGGTTTTTGCCTTGGGTTGCTCGTTTCCACTCAGGGACAGCTTCTATAGCTCGAGAGGATTGTTGCTGGGCTTGTCGCAGATCCGACGCGAACTTTCTCTGCTCAGGGTTGATCATCGGATCTTGCCATTGCGCGTTGAGATCGACTTTGGATGCCTCTTCCGCGGCTCGCTCGGCTGCTTCCTGTTGCTTGAGATCTTTCCTCTCCTTTGATAGATTTGTACCAGCTTGAGCCGCCCTGTTCAAAGATCCTTCGGGGGCTTTCACAACTCGAATAGGTGACAATTCCAGGGACAGCTTGGTTTGACCTGCGAGGAAGGGCGGCTCCTCTTCTCGGACCTCAATATCTATATCTTCCTCCTCCTCAAACTCGTCTTCTCCGTTCAAGGTGGCGTTGTATTCCTCGTCGATATCGGGATAGTCCTGTGCGGATATTGCACCTGAGGCAATGAGTTGCTTGATTTCCCATCGTTCCGGGGACGTTAATCTCTTTCGCCCCTTGCCAGGCTTCGAGGTGTAGCCGTCTTCAATAACGGGGACTGTGCTGCTTAAATTTCCATACCGGTCGTCAGACGGCAGACCATTGAGCCGTTCCATATTGGCGCCAGAGGCTATCCTCCTAGAAGGAACAAGATCTTGTCCAGTAACCTGATCAACCTCTTTCATCGACAAGCTGACCTTGTTGTTTTCCATCTTGACAACTTTGACCTTCACGTGCTGTCCACGAGATAGGAGGTCCGACGGGTGGTTGACCCTCGCGCCTTCTTGGATAGCCGAGACGTGAATCAGTCCGCTGACATTGCCTTTGACACCTTGAAGACTAGCAAATGCTCCAAAGTCTTTGATTCCATTGATCACTGCATCGTAGACTTTATAGAGCACGGGTTGATCATCGACTTCACGAGGTGGCGGCCTGCGAAAATCATCGTGTTCATCATAGTCGCGTCGCCTGCTCTTATGGTGCCCATTTCGTCTGTCGTCGTACCGGTCTCTGTAATCCCTATTTCTGTCTTCGTAGCCCTCATCTTGGTACCTGCGCGACCTCTTCTCCTCGCGAGGGCTCGGACTTCGGGACCAGTATTTGCGTCTTGGTTCTCGGTCTCTTGCATAGTCGTCACGACCGGGACTGCGACTTCTCTTCCTGTTCCTTTCGGTTGTGCCATTTGTGCCATTCCTTGAGTTTCCTGCAAGTCCTTCGAGAAGTGCAAAGGTGTCGTCCTCTGCGGAGTGATTTGCCCGCTTCGCCTTCTGTGCAGCGATGTCATCCTCGGAGTCGGTCCAAGGCTGTTCGCGATCTGGAACTGCAAGGCCCTTGAAAACTTTCGCTTTGCGTCCGATCGCATCCAACTCGTCCAAGTCCGAAGTACCATTTCCCTGCACGGGTTGTTTCTCGACTCTTTTGTACTTGGGATGCATCGTCCTGATCAGCCGATCGATACTCTCAACCAGGCTGTTGGGAAACTCCGCTCCCATGCCCGCCAGGGCCTCCTTGAACTTGTCCAGGTTCCCTCCACATTTTTCATGTTGGTCGATGACGAACTCGGCGAGAGTTTTGTCGTTGATTCCCAAGTGGTTTTGCAGTTCGGAGGTGACTCTGGAAACGAGCGACAGCAGTTCGAGGGAGGTGAAGTCGTCCATGGCTGGCCAAAGGTGAGCCTCTATCCGGACGGTGTGGAATTATCGTGTAAGGGCGGGCCTGGTCCAGCCAGTTGTCGGCCCTTGGTGTTTGGGTTCTCGGTGTCGGAGATGGACATGGAAATTTTGAGAAAGCGAAAGCGGGATGCAGCCTGCGGATCAAATGAACTCCGCTCGCTTGGGTTGGCTCGATCTGGGTGGCGGCGATTTGGTGGCGCAGGTCGCCCAACCTCTGTTGGTTCGGTTGGCGGCGCCTGGCGAATGGGCTCGATCTCTGACTATGGGAATGGCAGGGTCTTTCTTGAGTCGAGGCCCTGAATGGCATTACAATGGCACAGTGGATGGTGACGACGGTGCCTGCATCAATGTCGGTAGATCACCCACCCCTCTTTGAATCAGCTCGAGCAAAGTAGAAAAAGGTACCCTTCACCCCGCCTTCACAGTCTGCAATCCGTCTTTGTTTTCTCTTCCAGCTATTCTTTACACTCCTACAGAGAACTCTCCTCGCGGTCCTTGCGTTTTGTACAGAGTTCCACCTTAGCCTAGCCTATCCTCATCGTTGTCATCGAAAATGGACAGCATTCGAGCAAAGATCAAGCGCCGTCTCAGCCACAAAGACAAAGAACGTATGTACATTGCTTGCTTTTCATCTTCTCTGGAATGCTACTACAGTAGTTAATACAAAGCTTGAGCATGACCGTCTTTCATCCACACGATCCTATTCGCTGTCCCTTACTGTTGGACATAACCGTAACTAACATTGTCCAGCCGACTTTGACGACGTCGACTCGGCTGATGAAGAAACCATGGACTATGTCACCAAAGAGGCCGATGATGCAGAGAAAGAAGGACATGACGCAGGCAAGCCAGGGAGCTTCTTGAACCGATTGATCCTACATGGCAACAAAAAGACCGAGGATCAACTCGCTCGCGAAATGGCAGCATCCAACCCGTCGGCCGGCGGTGCTGACAAGGTGGTTACCCAACGATGAGCGTGTCAAGTGAAAAGACCGGCATAACCCCGATTCCTTCAAGGAAGCATTGAGATGGGTATTAGCGAAAAAAAAAAGATTTGGTACACGGTAGCACACTAGCAATACAATGGAAATCATCCACTGCTACACTTTCGTTGCTTGTGTACATCGTGACTTCTTGGTATTTGCCGAGAACAGTTTCTGCTTCGGACTCTGCAGGGTATGTTTGCAATGGGACTTTGACAATACCCGCCAGATACACTGCGGTGTTTCTCAAGGGCACTGCACGCTGTCCTCATTGAGTACGCCAAGCTGTCTCTGGCAGAGTGTGACTTTGGCACATATCGTGAAACAGCTGCATGAGTACCCTCAAATTCAGCCGTGTGCCACGTTGTAGGATTGTATAGGCGGAGATTCCTCGAATTCAACCGCAGGAGAACCCCTAATCCAGTTCACAGGAAGGGCCTCGGCTTCTTCTGGCAGCTCCGATCGAGATCCTTGATTAGTTGTCTCGCCTTCTTCGGTGTCGATTTGAGGAAGACTCATCCTCTTTTTGTACGATAAAACTCGCTTGCGTAGGTCGGGATTGGCAGAAAACTCAAGGAGACAGGTGTTGATTCGCTCTTCTGCCAGCTCTTTGGCGTATACAGCCATTTCCCTGTCTTTGAAGATGCCCAAGAATCTGTAACTGAGCCAGAGGTACAGGACTAGGGACTTGTGGAGGTCTTCCAAACTTTCCAGGTATGCTCGGTCTCCCGAAATCGGCTTCTCAAGAACCTCTAGTTGCACTTCAGGTATGTCGATGATTGTCACCTGTCTCCGCTCCGCCACACATCTCGCGAACGCTCTCATAACCTCGTCCATTGCTTGCGAGGCAGAAGTGGCTGGTGCGGCAGTCAACATGATGCGTTGGGTCATGGTCAACTCTCGGACAGGTTCGATCACTCGAGAAATTCGACTTTGATCTCGAATGCTGCATACCCGGAATCGCTCGTGCGTGGCAGCTTTCCCACACAGGCGCCTCAGGATGTATTCAAAAGGAATCCCTTTGGGCAAACGACCCTCGAGCTCCTCCATGGCCTCAGCGGGTGGTAGCATACCCGCTCTTTTGATTGGCGCAGCCTCCGAATCCATAGCAGCTCGTACAAGAGCTAAGTCCTCATCATTGAGAGTCGTGACCAATCCCACATTCGACTCTGAAGCGGCCGCGGTGTTATGCATGGCTTGATGTGCGTTTCGAAAGCGTCCGGCTCGTCCACCAATTTGTTTGATTTGAGCGGTAGACAGTTGCACAATGGAGGTCCCGTTAAACTTTGAAACGCTATGAAAGACAATGCGCTTCACGCTCCTGACCAGACGTTAGATTTGCATTCCTCGAATACATCAAAACCCACTTACAGATTCAATCCCATGCCAATCGCATCGCTTGCCACCAGGAAATCGTAGTCATTATTGGGATCATTGAACAGAGCAGCTTGCTGCGCCCGGGTTTCGGGAGGAAGACTTCCGTATACAATTGCACAACGACGACCTGTGTCCAGCTCGATTTGTTTTTTCAGTGCGTGTATATTAACGACCGAAAATGCCACAATGCAGTCCCCCTTGCGTAGGTTTTTGAGGTCTCCTCGCAGACTCTTTGTCATGACTTTGAGCGGATTAAGTCTCTTATACTCGTGCACATGAAGTATATCACCGGTGCTTGCTGTTAGTTCTCGGACAAGGGGGAGCACTCTCGTCTCCCCGCAGATGTGGACTTCTTTTGCATTGGCACCAAGGAAAGCTCGAGTCCATGCCCAACCTCGATCCTGGTCAGCCATCATCTGCACCTCGTCGATCACGGCAACCTCAAATCGGGCAGAGATGTCGACCATTTCTACGGTCGAGGCACGTAGCTTCGTATTGGGATCATCCTCTAGTCTGACATCGTCTCCGGTTATAAGGTCACAAGGGACGGCCTTCGCTTTGAATCTCGAGTACACCTCATGGGCTAGCAGCCGTAGAGGGCCAGCGTAGAAACCGTCTCCACTCTCCTCGAGCCTTTTCAGGGCATTGTAGGTTTTCCCAGAATTGGTCGGGCCGATGTGCAAATGGACATCTCTTTGCACTTGCCGGGCATTGGTATACCATTCTGTAGGGAATTGCAGATCGTCGAGCGCCGAACGTTCCTGCGGAGTATCTTGTGCCTTTCTCAAAAGGACATAATCAATGAAGCCAAAATGTAGTACTCTCGGCAGTTCAGTCTGCCAGTCGCCTAACTGAGCACGGCCAATGTCATATATCAGGCCGTCAAAATCCGCACCCTCAGAGTCACCCCGTGCGGTAAGTGTATTTTCGAGGCGTTCTCTGAATGCGGGCCAGTAGATCCCACGAGGATCGAGCGCCGCAAATTGTGTAACTTCTGATTCCGCTGTCACCCTGGTGGACTCCAAGTGCTTCTTTAGTTTTGACAAGCTGACGCGGACACGGTTGTAACTCGCATCGGGTGAGATCTGGAGCGTTTTGGGGACTGGACGCCGACTTGATCGACGAGACTTCGAAGGCTCAGAGAGAACGGATCTGACGGCGAGAGAGGTTTTATGGTGTCTTCGATCTGTCCGACCAGCGGTGGTAGAGAAGGCGCGGATGTTGGCAGAACATCGGTTCTGCGTCGATGGAAAGATGGCTCGAAATGAACAGAAGAGGCATGGCGCTCGACTGGTTGAAGGAGTGAACATACCCGGGCAAATGCAAGCAGTGTCGTAGCAAAGCTTCGGGAGGACACCGAAAGCTAAGAATGTGAGATGCACTGCCCACGCAAACCTCCTTCTAACGCTGTCGTATAGGATTGGGGAATGAGGGAATCCGAGTCTTCATCGTCATCGATAAAAGTTGGCGACATATTCAGCCTTATCACGTGGTAAACCCGCCCTGGGGGCGAGGCTGGAGTGCGGCCCGATGTCACCACAGCGGCCTGCGACAAAGTATCCCACCCCACAGCAACGCCCATCGGCGCATGCACACATGAAACAGGAACGTCTTGTTCAGCATTTAACAAACAGTGCGTACAGAGTCTCGAAGTCATCTCATTTTCATGAGTATGTAAGCAAGGCCTTCCGCTCTGAACACTTGTGCCGGTCATGGCAACCTCCATCCTCGAGATCCAACGGAATATCGTATTAGGCACGATTCGGGCTACCAGTGGGCGAGATTGGAAAGTCTTGATCTTGGACGAGCAAAGCAAACGGGTTGTGTACAACGTTTGTAAAGAGGATGACATCCTGAATGCCAACATAACCAACATCGAACTCCTCGAAGATCGCAGGCAGACCCTCTCCGACACCGACGCGATTTACCTCCTTTCCCCTCTACCGCATATAGTCGAAAGCCTCAAGGCTGATCTCAGTCGAAAGAGATACCGACGTTCTCACCTTATCTGGACCTCCCAGCTACCGAGGAACCTTGGGGAAGAGCTGTTTCGCTCAGAGTCTCGAGCACAGTCGATTGTCGAATCTCGGACACTGAACATCGAGTATTTTCCGCGAGAATGCAACCTGGTCACATTTCGACAACCATGGAGTTTTCATTTACTCTTTCACCCAGCTTGCGACTCGTTGGTTAAGGACCACCTGGACAGCATAACCCAGAAAATCGTGTCAATATGCGTATCGCTCGGCGAGTACCCTTTGATTCGATTCTACAAGCCTAAAGAGCATCAGAGACATGCTGCTGATGTTCTGTGCTATCATCTTGCCAGCTTCGTACAGAGTGCGTTGGACGACTATGCTCGCGATCCGCGGAATGACTTCCCCCCCCAGAACCCTGGTAACCGGCCACGAGCGGTTCTACTGATCACAGACCGGTCCATGGATCTGATGTCGCCATTCGTCCACGAATTAACATATCAAGCCATGGCAATGGATCTCTTGCCGATACGAGACGACGAGGACAAAATAACATACAGAAACGTCATCAGGAGAGGTCAACCGGACCAAGAAGAAAAAGATGTTGAGATTTCCGAGAAAGATAACCTTTGGGTCGCTCACCGACATATGCACATGAAAGATCTTCTCGTGCAGTTGAGCGAAGAGTTCAGGAAGTTCCAAGCCAAAAATCCACAATTTGCCGACAACGATGGACAACCTGCGAGTATCAACACCATCAAGGACATGTTGGCGGGACTTCCAGAATTCCAGGAAGGCAAAGAAGCGTTTTCACTTCATATCGACATGGCCGAAAAGTGCGCAAAAATCTTTGCGGACCGTAAGCTCCTGGATGTGGTCTCTGTCGAACAATCGCTTGCCACAGGACTTGACGAGGAGAACAAGAAACCAAAGAATCTGGCAGATCAGGTTGTCAGACTGCTTGATGATGACAGTGTTGTCCATGAAGATCGGGTCCGACTTTTGATTTTATACATTTTGTACAAGAATGGCATTCTGAGGGGAGACATCGAAAAGCTGCGGTGTCATGGCGAGCTCTCGCCGATGGATGGGGAAATCATCTATAACCTGATAACTCTGGGTGCTAGGATTGAGAAGCAGTTGAAAGATGCGACACCCACTCCACCGCCATTATTCCCACCGAAGGTCAGAGATGTCACTAACATGGAGGAAGTGAGTTTGTCACGCTTTGAGCCGGCTCTGAGGTTCATGCTCGAGGAGCAATGCCAGGGTACATTGGATGTTACGGTGTTCCCTCCCGTGAAGCCACATCTCAATGATCCAAATAGCCAGATGAGCGTCTCCCAGACTTCGCTGAGAAATACAGGCAAGCCCACGTGGGCTCAGACTCGATCTCAATCTAACAAGCCGCGCCAACGCATTATTGTGTTCGTGGCCGGCGGCGCGACCTACGCCGAAGCACGAGCCTGCTATGAAGTCTCACAGATGGCTGGGAAAGAAGTTTTCCTTGCGACAACCCATATGATAACACCTAAAACCTTCCTGCGGCAAGTGAGCCAACTCAGTGCTGGGCGAAGGCAGCTGGATCTGCCAATGGATCGAGCCGCCCCGCGGCTACCAGCATGGATGTCGGAGCCTCCTCCACAGGCTCAGCAGCAACCAAGACCTCAACAGCCTGCAAATGGCAGACAGCCTGACAGGGTTCGACCACCGACCGAAGCGATGGCAAACATGAATCTCGGTGGCAGGGGGCCACAGAATGGCGTGCGCCCCGGAGTGGGAACAGCGCCAACCTCGTCAAAACCACCACAACCATACCAATCGCCGTCCGCTGATAGTGGCCACCACAAATTGAAGAAAGATAAGGAGAAGAAACACCTAGGGCTGTTCAAGAAGCATTAGAAGCGCATGCTTGTATGATGGTGACTTAGCGTGGCGTCGGTGGGTGGAGGAGGGGACTGGCGGAGGGTGTGTATAGTCATGTAATCCCGTCTTGGTCACTGCATGGGAGATGGCCAGGTTCTGCCCATATACAATTCGAGCCAGCTTCATCGAGTCGGAGATGTTGGATCATCAACTGTTGGGACCCAAGTATTTCTCCAGATCCGGACCGTAGAACAACTGTCTCAACTTCTCCGCCCGTTTCTTCGCTTCGTCGTCCAGGATCCGGACCTGTTTTGCATTCAACTTCACGATCTTGTCCTCATTCTTTGGGTTATGCTTCTTCTTTACCACGTTCATCTCGTCCTCGTCGACTGTCTCTCGCAGACCCACCGTATCGTTTTTCTCTTTCGTCTTAATAGGTACTCTGATACCCTCTTCTCTGGCACCCAACCCTCTTCGAGAATCGGGATCCCAGCCATAACTCGACAAGTACCGTAGACCAACACGATCGCGGTCAAGGTTGGACGGCGGGTAAGAATGTGTCAGGCATACTTGATGCGCGATTGAGGTCTCATGATTTATGGATAGAGCGTCGGTGGATGAAATGGGTTGATTGCAGATTGCGCATAAGGCTTGAGGCTTGGAAGCGTCTGAATCTTGGTCCTTAGCTTCAGCAATGTCGCTGTCCGCCCCTTGAGCACCCTGCGGTAGAACAATAGCCAAATACCGGGACCCAGCGTTCGTCGAGGTCGGCGCTTTCGATGTAGGTATTTGTGAATCGGAAGTGGAAGCGGGGACGAAGTTGATCTGCTTGCGCCGAATGCCGGCTCCAAAGACGCGCTGATCCTGGGGCGGTAGGTAATAGTCTTCATCCGTGTCTGCCATGGTCTCTTGATACGACATTTGAAAGAGTGGCATGCTGGTCTTACCGCCTAGAAAAACTTTGGGGTATTCTAAAAGTAATGCCATCGGGCGCTGTGGCGTCATTGCCCTGTGGCTATTCAGGCACCCGCCGCCTGCGATAGGCGGATTGAGCGGAGTTCCCTCTCAAATTACAAAAGTATGGATTTCTATTCTACCTAGATTTGAATGCATTTACCCATTTCCCGTGTTTTGAGCAACTCTAGCAGACGATGCCTATTCCTCTGCTGGCAGAGGGCTTCGGCAGAGGTCTCTCAAATATCCCCTACATCTGGACCGTCGCTGAGGGCGCAGCCATAGTAGGTATCATCGCTTTGTTGAAACTGTACTTTGGCGGAGCAAGATGTCGATCAGAACGACTTATGCATGGGAAAGTCGTCATGGTCACGGTAAAATGATACAACCCGGATCTTCCAAATGCTTTCTGACACAAGGTTCGCAGGGAGGAACATCAGGCATCGGCGCCGCCATTGTGCAGGAACTGGCGACAAGAGGCGCCCAGATTATCCTCCTGACCCATCATGCCCCCTCGGATCCTTTCCTCGTGGACTATATTGAAGATGTGCGAACGATTACAAACAATGAATTGATCTACGCCGAACAAGTTGACCTCTCTTCATTACACTCAATACGACTCTTTGCCACGAAATGGGTGGATAACGCACCTCCAAGAAGATTGGACATGATCATTCTCTGTGCCAATGTAATGACTCCTTACTTTGGCAAGCCTCAGGAAACAATGGATGGGCTGGAAGCCGAGTGGATGATCAACTACCTCAGCACATTCCATTTGCTCAGTATTCTCTCACCAGCTATTCGCGCACAACCTCCGGACCGAGACGTGAGAATCCTGTTCAGCACATGCAGCAGCTACATTGGAGGAAAATTGGACTTTGAAGCCACTGATAAAGCTTCCAAAGCAGGAAGTGCCTCGTACGGACGAAGCAAATTAGCAGTCATGACCTTTGCATATGCATTCCAGAAGCACCTTGACGCCTATAAAAGACCGGACAAGGAACTCAACAATGCTCGAGCGCTGATAATCGACCCTGGCTATTGCCGCACTCCGGGCACGCGCCGTTGGCTCTCGGGTGGTCTAATATGGGGTCTCCTCCTTTACTTGATCACGTGGCCATTATGGTGGCTCATTCTCAAGTCCCCGATACAGGGTGCTCAGAGCTACCTGCTAGCCACCATGGATGCAGAATATGGTCGAGGCGCGGGCGGGAAGATGATCAAAGAATGTAGACAGTACGAGCCTTTGAGACCGGAAGTCAAAAACGAAGAAGTCGCAAAAAAGCTGTGGGAATTCAGTGAGAAGCAGATCGAGCACCTGGAAAAGATGGCTGCGAAGAAGAGGGCTGCAGCAAAGAAGGAGACAGAACAAAACAAGAGCACCGAGAAAGTCGCTTCAGCAAACGGTGCGTCTTCGTCCTCTGGAGGAAAGGCCCAGCCGGTACCGGGTTCCAGGAGAAGTCGAAAAGCAGCGAAATGAACCTCGCCACCGTATTCAACCAGGAGCAGTATACGAAGGAAGTGGCCGAGCACGTATGGACTTTCAGAGTCTGGAAGAGCATAACCCCAATCGACTCGGCCAGGTTACATTGCTTACCCAATACACTCCGGACTAGGGACCAATCACACCTTGTATCTCTATGCATCGTGCAATCAGAACAGGATAAGACTTGGATGCCTAGTTGGCAAGCCACGGCCAAGCCTTGTCCAAAGACCGGTCAATTGGCATCTTCTAAGTATACATGCCTTGCCTTGGACTCCTACCATGTTTGATGAGCAAATACGAGACAATGCCCCGGCTGCTCCCTCTCTCAAATGATCCTGGCCATCCCTTGGTCGGACGGCAAAGGCAGGAAATGCCTTGACGACGTTCCTTGGCTTGAACCATTTTGACAAGGATGAAGCAAGCGACCAACTTAACCAACTTAGATAACAAAAATTATCAATCAACACCGCTGCCTAAAAGGCCCCAGCTCAGCTTGCGTTGAATCGAAGAGCACCCTGAATATATAATTGCCCTCAACTACCGCAGAAATAGGACGTACACCAACAACTCCAGCTTGGTAACTCCGCTACATCCATCTACTTAAGCCGTCCTTGCCTCGTCGATACATCACTTACGATGACTTCCAGGCCAGAATCAATCTCTGGTGGCTGCTTGTGCGGCTCCATAAGATACAAGGTGGTATTTCCAGAGGGCGCAGCATGGCCGGCCAATGTATGATGCTTGCTCCGCAGATGGCGTATAGCTCTAACAAATGTCCCCAGGCAGCCACCTGTCAATGTACAATGTGCCGCAAATGGACTGGAGCGTTGGTCTCCCATGACCTTCTTATTCACCCGTCGCAATTTGTCGACGACATAACCAAGTCTCCAACCTACAAGGAGTACCAGTCAAGCCAAACAGCTGTCCGATCCTTTTGTTCTCAATGCGGGAGCGGCCTTACCTGGCGAATCATTGGCATGGACGACATGATAGTCGTCATGACGGGCACTGTTGATGAAGAAACATTGATTGGCAAGAAAATCGAGGGTAGCGAACAAGGCACCGAACTTGGCACCAAGTTTGAGCGTGAAGGAGGACTCTACAAGGAGCTCTGCACGCCAAACATGGGTAACCTGTTCTGGAACAATGTGGTCCCTGGCATCACCGACCATGATGTCGGAGGGACCAAATTCCTGCAGTCGTTTCCGCAAGAATGAGGAGGGAGCGGATCTGCCGTCGGATGTCCCATCAATACTGAGCACCACACCTCTCATGTGTTGCATCCCTCGACCAACCTTAGGGACTTCAAGATACCGATCAGACAAGATAGCGCATTTCGTTGAAATATTCGCTGTTTTCGAAAGCACAGGCCTACAGGCGTCTTGGTTTCAAAATACCCTTCCAATTTGCTTTACGGCACATTTCAGGCTGAGGAGATGGGCTCTCTGGTCGGAAAGACCCCATCAACTGACCTGTGCTATGCAGAATGACCCAATGAACGAATTCCCATATCCAGGACCAGCCCCAAGCGAGGATGTCCGCCACACCATCCTGCGGTGTTGATTCCGCCCTCCACAAACGGACCACGGAATGAGGCGGCGTCGTGGTTGGTGGTCGCCATATCTCTCCACAGTCCCAGTGCCGTCCCCCTCACATCAGAATTCCGGGGTGGATCTTGCGCTTGGTGGGTGATATATACCGGGTATCACTTTGCTCAGTCTTCCGCCGTGTAGACCATTCTCTTCGCCCTCTTTTCTGTTCTCATTTCCTGTTGTCGCTCGCCATCCATTCACAGGGATACCAAGATGATTGACAAAACGCTCAAATTCTTAGTGGGCCATGCCCAAGAATCTCCCATCGCATTCGTGGCATACTTCGCAGCAGCTTCCGCCCTTCTATATCTGCTTATCACCGAGATTCAAAGACACCAGGCACGCATTCCAGGTTTTGATGGCCCTTCAGGGTTGCCCATGATCGGCAATATCCATCAGATTCGCGTCAACGCAGCAGAGCAGTACCGGCTGTGGTCCCAAAAATATGGCCATGTGTACCAGATCATGTTGGGCAACGTCCCCGTCATAGTGGTGAACGGCAGCAAAGCCGCACGCGAGATCTTCGGGGCGAACTCCCAGGCACTGGCCTCCAGACCGGAGTTCTACACTTTTCATAAGGTGGTGAGCTCTACGAGCGGGACGACGATAGGAACATCCCCATTTTCGGAGTCTTTAAAGAGGAGAAGAAAAGGTGCAGCCTCAGCCCTGAACAAACCGAGTGTCGCAACGTACATCCCGCACATCGATGTCGAGACCCGAGATTTCTTGAACGAGTTCCTGACTTATGGAGATGGGGGACGGACTCCTGTGGACCCGATGCCCATGATTCAACGCCTTTCGCTGTCGCTGGCACTAACCTTGAATTGGGGGACTCGTATGGCATCTCAGAACGACGAACTGTTTGGGGAAATTACACACGTCGAGGAAGAGGTGTCCAAATTCCGCTCCACCACGGGCAACCTGCAGGACTACATTCCGCTTCTACGACTGAACCCCTTCAGCTTCGGAAGTGCCCACGCCCGCGACATGCGACGCCGAAGAGACGTGTATCTGAAGAAGCTGAATGACGACTTGGACGACAGGATGGCGAAAGGGACCCATCAACCTTGCATCCAAGCGAACGTCATCCTCGACAAGGAAGCGAAGCTCAACAACGAGGAACTCGTCTCCATCTCTCTGACCATGCTCTCGGGCGGGTTGGACACGCTCACGACCTTGGTCGCGTGGTCGATGGCGCTTCTTGCCCAGCGGCCCGAAATCCAGCAGAAGGCTCTCGAGGAGATCCGCAAGGTGTACCCGCAGGATCAGATTCTCTGCGACGCGTACGACGACCAATCCATCCCGTACATCGTGGCTCTCGTCCGAGAGTTGCTCCGATACTACACGGTCCTGCGACTCAGCCTGCCGCGCGGCACCGTCAAGGATGTCGTATACAACGGCCACACGATCCCCTCCGGGAGCGTCGTCTTCCTCAACGCCTGGGCCTGCAACATGGACCCGGAAGTCTGGGCGGATCCCTTCACCTTCCGCCCCGAGCGCTGGCTCGAGAACCCCGACGCCCCGCTCTTCACGTACGGCCTCGGGTACCGGATGTGCGCGGGCAGTCTCCTGGCGAACCGCGAGATGTACACGATCTATCTGCGGCTGCTCAGCGCGTTTGAGATCAAGGACGTTCGCCCGGCCGACGGGACCGGCGAGGTCGAGACGCACCCCGTGAAAGGCGTGCAGGATCAGACGCAGCTTGTCAGCGTCCCCCGACGGTACACGGTCCGCGTGGTGCCCAGGGACGAAGAGATCTTGAGGAGGGCCTTGAACGAATACGATGAAAAGCATTCTTGATTCTGGTCGACGGCGGCACACATATTCCCTGCATTGCAAACGCGGGGGAAGGGATGATTCTTTTTGTTGAGTCTGAATACCATAGTAGTGCATCAATACGCCTTTTTAAAGTCATCCACGCAACGTGATCTATGTGTTCCGAAGTCTATCGCTGTCTGTTTTGTAACTTGCTATAGATGTTTGCCGTCTATTCCCAAAATATCGTTTTAGAAGATTCCATCACATGATCTTCTATGCTATAACCCTCTATTTCCATCCATATCGAGGCGTGCAATGCTAAATTGAGCCGCTCACAATGGTTCACCTGATCGTGGGCTTGACCGCCCCGTTTGACTCCATAGAATTGGTCCGATGCCTCCTGAGACCCTCCTCGGCCAGGTTCTTGACCGTCTTCCTGCCGTCGTAGATGTCCTTTGTCTCTTCGAGGATGCTCTCCCAGCCGCTGAATTCTGTGAAGGGAATTCCTTCATTCTCACAGTACGTCACGAGATCCATGCCTTCTCTGGCAAACAAGAGATCCGTCTCTCGCGCGGCACTCAGGTCGGAAACACCGTCGCCCGCATACAGCAGCGTGGGTCTCTCATGCGCGGGCATCTTGGCAATCGCATCCGCGTAAGGGCGGATCGTTAGAGACTTGTCGTGCCCGAAGCCCGAGTCGTCACGGTACCGGATCGTCCAGCCGCCAGGCTTTTCGAGCGAGTTTTCGGGCGGGACCAACTGCGTCGCGTTGGCCACGATCTCCAGATCCTTCATCAGGTCTTCGCCCAGCAGATGGTCCAGTAGGGCCTCCAGCACGGGGGCCATGCCGCTGCTCAGCACGATGACGGGGACCTTCATGTCGCGGGCCCACAGCACGAAATCCCGAAACGCCGGGTCCAAGCTGATGTTCTCCTTCAGGATCTCCAGGACCTGCGGGAATGGCATGTTCCAGGAGTCTACCATCTGCTGAAATGTGTTGCGGAAGGTGTCGGTCTTGTCGATGACCGCGTGGAAGAGTTTCCGCCGCTTCTCGTAGCCCATGCCATAGTTGTCTGTGATGAAGTCGTTGGTGTCTTGAAGGGTGATTGTGCCGTCAAAGTCGGTGAAGAAGATCACCCGAGGCTTAGCCTCGAGAGTCTGAGGGAATGGCATCGTGAATACTCTGTCTGATGAGTGATCTAAAGGACGAGACCGAGGAAGGACAAAAAGAGAGACTGTGAGAAGAAGACTCCGATAGACCGATATATATGTCGGTCTTCGATGCCGTCTCTGTCTCCTAACCGGGACAAGACCGACAGAAGCGGCTTGGGGAGGGAGATCCGATTATGGTTGGGTGGTTTGGCGCGCCAGGCACGGATGATGGCTCAAGGTTAGAGATTTTCCCCTGGATGTTGACGAGCATTGGGATCATTTTGATCAATTTTTGGCGGGGAGGTTGCATGGCCGAAAGGGGAATCCCGGCCAAGCCTGCAATTCTCGATTCTCCTGCTTATGACGTCGGCAGCTCATTTGCTCGTAGTGCCTGGTGCCGCCCATTCTCGGAGCCGGCACACCTTCCTCGCCGAAAAAAACTCGCCGATCAATGGAAGCTGCTTTCTGTGTCTGCTCGACTGGAAGCGTGACACTGTGCTCGTGGCCTCGCTGGATGTGAAGATTACATTGCTGCTCGCGATGCAGCAAGCTCCCCTCCGGCTGTCCCAGACATTATGGTCCGCTTTTCGAGCCGCGAAGCCCGTCCACCGATCCCTCGCATGTCCCCGTCAATTCTCGACCGTGGTGCGTCCAAGAGCGCAGCCATGGACCCGCCATCAGCCAGGGATAGCTGTTCGAGCTCGGTTTTATAGCGAGAAAAAGACGGACATTAGTCGAGAGATAGAGGATGCGAAGGATCGAATAGGCGAGAGCCTCGATTCAAGAGCAGATGCCGCGGCGCAGATGCCACACAAGCTCAAGCACCCTCAGGATGAAACGATTGTCCACACCATTCCCGAGTCCTCCTCAATAGTACATACCTCCAAACATGAGGAACACAAGGCCCCCGATAAACCAGAACCAGCGCAGCCCTCCAGTTCTTCCAGTAAACCCCTGCCGTCCGCCATCTCCTCTCGCTATACCGATCTTCAACAACGCTTTGCCCATTTCATGGACAACTTCCAAACCCACGTCTTTACGGCCTCTCGCCGCCTCAATGACCTAACAGGCTATTCAGGAATCGAAACATTGAAAGCTGACATTGAACGCCAAGAGTCTATAGTACAAGAATGTCGTGCAGCAGTGAAGGACGCTCGGGCGCGGTATAGCGAAGCCATTGCTATGCGTAGTACCACGCAACGGGAAGTCAATGATCTGCTGCACAGAAAGCATACGTGGTCGCCCGCAGACCTGGAGAGATTTACCAGTTTATATCGATCCGATCACGCCAATGAGCAAGCCGAAGCCGCTGCGCAAAAGGAAGTTAGCGACGCAGAAGCCCGGTATGAGGAAGCGTCTACCAAGCTTGCGAGGGCTATATTAGCTCGGTACCACGAAGAACAAATCTGGAGTGATAAGATAAGGCAGATGTCTACGTGGGGCACGTGGGGATTGATGGGAATCAACGTGTTGTTGTTCCTCATCTTCCAGGTCGTCTTGGAACCATGGCGGAGGAAACGCTTGGTCAAAGGCTTCGAAGAGAAGGTGGAGTTGGCACTGAAAGAAAAGGAGGAAGAGACCAAAATGGCAGTGGTACAGCCGAATCAGACTATGGCGGAAGCTGCAGCGAGCATGACGGCCGGTGAGAAAGTCGAGGCGGTGGCGGACAACATTGCGGAACAGATTGTTGATGCTGTTACGGGTTCAACATCGGACGATAAAGCTCCAACGCCACCTCCCTTATCGAAAATCGAAGCAGCCGTCGATACTGTAACAGCACACGAACTCGAGATTGAAGAGACAGTGCCTGCAGGCACTGCGGACGCTCTTCTCTCTTCTGTCATGGCTGATACGACGCCATCACAGCAGCCCGCCAATGGGTTCCCACGCTGGACATCTCCCGACTCCCGCTTCGCATGTTACGAAGACTCCCTGAGGGCGCTGTTCAGTGACGACCACAAGATCCTCGTGTCGCAGAGGGACTTGACCACCGTGGCCATGGAGGGCGTCGCTGGCGGCATGGCCATCATGGGCCTCCTGTTTGTGCTCCTCCGGCCGCGGTAGTGTACTATCACGTCTCTGCACACCCAAAACTAACCCAACAACTTCTAGCGGGTTAATTGGAGCTAGGACGCAGAGGTCGCCTAGCTTGTTGTATATATTCCGATCCACCTACCCCATCGATCTATGAATTCGTCCGTCTATGATTGGGACTGCAAAACACCCACCCCATGTTCTGTAGATAGCACTACTCCCAGTGTTTCCACCCGAGGAGGCGGAGTCAGTGAACGAGTGTAATGTACGATATAGAGAAGAAGGGAGCCAGGGTATACCAAGACCTCTACAGCTTGAAGTTTTGTTTCTGAACTCTCGGTTCCCGTACCTGAGCATAGAAGTTTGCTGTGCGTCAACATACAGAGCAATGTATGAGCTCCACGGGACACAGAGACAGACACCAAGATGGAGATTTGCGTCAACCGAAATAATGAATATATGTGGGTTTTGGTTTTGTAGTTCTTGCTTCCCCTTCTCACAGCCAGCGATGGAATGCTCTTGGATCTTCTCCAATCACCCTGTATCCTGGCATCTCCCAGCGTCTTGCTGTCTAATATGTACAAATAACTCTTGCGCACCTCGGGTCCCGTCCCTAGCTTGGCCTCTTCGATCGCAGCAGCTGCCACGTACAACCACAAGGCGCCTCGGTGGGCTCGCCGCTCCTTGTCCCGCCTGGTGGCATTGTCTAACCAATGATCAATTTATCTTCCTCCGGGAACTCGTATTCGGGCACCTCCAAATTCAATGGCGCGGGTCCTTTCCTGATTCGTCCCGAAATATCATAATGCGAACCATGGCAAGGACAGAACCAACCACCAAAATCGCCTGCTTCGCCGATGGGGACGCACCCCAAGTGTGTGCAGACGCCCAACATGACAAGCCACTCGGGTTTCTTGACGCGGTCGGCATCTTTCTGAGGGTCACGGAGGATTGAGATACTGTGGGCGATCGTCAGAACAAGAGGTACTTCTAGAGGGAACGTAGCTTCCTCGCAAGGAAAGAAACTAGGACGTACTCGACAGATTCGGCCTCCTTGATCTCGTCTTCGGTACGATGACGGATGAAGACGGGCTTTCCTCTCCATTTGATGATAACGTTCTTGCCCTCGGGGATGGAGGCCAAATCGATTTCCACCTTAGCTTGGGCCAGCACGTCGGCAGAGGCGGACATGTTTTCTAGGAAGTCTGTACAATTTCGCAACTCGGTCAGCTCTGCGCCACTCCAAATGGGCCAAACCGGTGTACCAGGCAAGGGCGGTGCTTGCTGGAGCTCAAATGGGGATGTCTCTACCTTGTACGGTATTTTTCGCGCCGGCGGCAGCCAACAGCCCCATTGATCCGGCCATGAAGTACTGGAAGACTCGGTTCGTGATCTCGGAGTTTTTGGACTCGTATGTCTTGAAGCTGGGAATCTTGTGTGTATCATACTTGGTCGTCCTGAAAGGGCTCTGGAAGCTGGTGCTACCTGTTGCTTCTGCTCCGGAGGATTCCAGTCGTCGTTGAGGGATGTTTGAAGCTGTGATGGCTAGACGGGAGGACTGGGAGGAGGCTGAGGAGGAGTTGACGGGAAGGCTGTGTCGGGTCCAAGTGCGCAGGGCAGAGCCCGCTGACGCCGGAACGGGACGCATGTTGAGGATGAGAAAGAGAAGAGAGGCGGTGGTTGTCGAAGTTGGAAGCTTGAGGAGGTGCTGGAGCTATGTTGCTTGAGGCGCAATTGAGAAGAGCCCGAACGTCCGCCAAGAGACAGATCTTTTGCGTCGACGTTGATTGGCTGGGAAGCTCTTTGCGTCAAATGACCGAATGTTTCGCCGGACCTCGAATTCTGTAAACAGTACTCCGTAGAACCTCGCGAGCACTATACCCACCTGACGTGACCTATGTGCCATTCTATCAAAACCACCGTGTCGAACAATCGTAGGCACACGTCGTTCCTGTCGCGACTCTCCACGTCATGGAGAGGCAAAGCCGTGCGCGGTGGTCCATCAGGAGCTTGAGGAACCGAGGAACAAAGAGGATTTGATCATCGATTGCCTGTTACACCCACACAATCGTAGGACGGGTGATGAAGTAGGGCAAGGCTGAGAGAGACCACGCATCTTTCTCCTCCCGGCTTACGATCCTTAGCGGAAGGTAAATCGCAGATGTAGAATGCAGCTGCAAATAGAAGTATTCCCCGGAACAAATGGCACCGAAGAGATACAACAGCATAGGATAGAAAGTATTGTCAAGACAGACTATTCAGTCTTTGGCCAAGCTATGCATTCTCCTTTCCTCGGCCTATGGCTGATATTTTGCCTTGCCAAATTGTGGCCAATAGGCCTAGTTGCGAATAGTCGGGCTATGGCATGGACGTCTTTGTCAATATACCTGGGAATATTCCTGTTGGATTGGATCCGAAACTCCATCTACACAATACGAGCATACCTCGGGGCAGACACGGGAAAGTGTCGAGGGGCGTCAACGACCTGGACGCAACCCATGAGCCTCATTTCAACTCTTGCCGTATCCTACCCGACCCAACACGGACCATGTTTAGAAGTCTGTTTAGAAGCCTACTGCGGCTGAGGCTCGAACAAAATCGCCGACTGCAATACCCCCAGCGTGCGAATTCAGCCTGAAACCACCCCGTGCCTCCATGGCTTGCTTAAGCCTGCGCTCGTCCAGGCTTTTCCCAAGTTCTCCTGCTTGCAGAAGCTTGGGGGTCAAGAGGGTTACACAACGCCTGAACGGGCAAGGAACGCACCCATCACATGTTGATACGAGCCAGTCTGATTGCTAATCTTGCAAGGGTCTACAGAACAAGCTTGACTTCCCCAAGACAATCACCGTCGCGGTCCAATAAACGGACGTTTTTTAACGCCACAAAGGCCAGACTTTCCAGACGAATTCATGATTGAACATCGCTTCGGCACGATATGCCTTCACATGCCCGCATGGACTCGTGTCGCACACCGGTCAGCTGAAGTCTTCACCACTTCACAGACTCGACCTTGAGGGAGGAGAAGTGCGGCTGGGCGAGATTGAAAAATGAACTTCTCTGGTCCCAAGGCTGTCTTCCCAAACTTGGGCTCGACTTGTTCGCCCATTCTCTTAAATTGTTCTTCTGTTGATGTAGGCAACATGTCTCACGACCTGCATCGAAAGCCGACAGGCGAAAGTAGTCGTGGTGTGTCCTTGCCACGCAGACTGACCCAGCCTTTCCACCAACAAAGCAAGAAAACGGAGCCAAAGTACAAGCTCTATCGAGAAAGTTACGGAGTGTACAGCGGCATGACGTGGGACAAGCTCAAAGGATATCTGGAGCAAAAATTCCCCCAATCAAAATATCCTGGGCTCGAATTCAACGAAGACTGTGTAGGTTTTGTTTAGAACAATGCCCATTTGCAACAGATCTGACATCTGTCGTTCCATAGGCGCTTGACCATTGGATCTTTGAGGTGCCAGAGCCTCTTACTGATGTAAGGACTGGCTCCCATAACTTGAGGTACCGTGGTGAAAGAGGTTTTGTGTTCTAAAAGCAGAGCAGGAAGACAAAAGAGAGCTGCGAAGGCTGAGGGATAAGCCAACAGCTCCAGGTAGCACCCAGCAAGCGCCAGCCACGTCTCAGGAGAAACGTCGGTCAGTCTCTCCTGAATAGGGAGACAAGTGGCGCCTCTTATGACAGGTTCAATGGACAGATGATATCTAAATCATGTATCGATTGGAACGTGGCAAAGCGCCACTGAGCCAGGAAAGTGAGGGGTGAGCGGCAAGCCGGCATGTGGAACACGAGTCCAGTGGAAAGTGGTTGAAGCAGGCAGACTGGATGAGGCTGAGTCGGTTATTCGATGCCTGTCCGTGCAGGGGCATCTAGCCGTCGCCATGAGCCTATTTGTGAGGCTGAGGAGTTGCTTTGGGCATTCCTCCTCCACCCCTTCGCTTATTTCGGCTCGTACGAGCCAATGCGCCAGCCACTGCAGCAAGGCGCTGTAGCCAAGAACTACCCCTTCGACAATCCTTGCCCAGACTCCTCGAGATGAATACGCCTGCAATTCTCAGAGGCAATCTTTGCGGCAGCGTAAGGCTCTTCGTGGCCATAAACTACAAAGGCACTGCCATCGAGTGGCGGACCAGGCGATGGCAATATAGCAATATATTTTGAGATGCTCCTGGGTCAGAACTGTTGAAGGAGTGTCTATCAGAGACGGTCACTTCAGAAATGCAAACTCTACAGATTCCACCGCAGCTCCAGCAGGCATATCTAGACTCCAGTCGATATCCAGAGAACCTGCCCCCTGGTAGCACAGATACCTACTCCAGTGATCTACAAATATACAAAACACTGTTGGACAAAGCCCAACCTGATCTGTTCATCGATTTCGAGCCTGATATACATATTGAGGTTTCATTTCGCGAACTACACAATGCTGCAGGAAATGGTGCGACTCCCAACCATCCTCCATCTCGCATTACTGACTGGAATAGAGCTGGAAAAACTCAACGCGCACGATGCCGTCAAGGCGAGAAGTTTCTTGGGTATACAAACCGGGCCTGACCCTAGTGATCCCGCAAGGTCGGTAGTGATTGCACGTAGAAGAGATCCAGGGCCCCGTTTCATGTGAGCTCGCCATCAATATCTAGCGGCCAAATCATTGAGCATTTTAGATACATCAAGGGCCAGCACTCCAGGGCTCCTTTGAACATCACACGGCAACTTATGTGCGAGATTTTCTCCTACCATCAGGTCATGCCTGTTTATCTCGACTTCATCTTTGTGTTCGGCGCTCAGAGCGAGCCACGGGATCGAAGATTCAGCGGTTTTCGCCAGCATAGCTTTCTGTCCGATCCACCTCGCGGACTGGTGATCCCAGATCTTGGGCGAAGTGGGCGGTTGTACCAGCTATGTTACAATTTGAAGACGGTAACTTTGAAATCCGAAGATCCCAAGGACATCAGTCTGAGCGAGTGGTCAATTCAACCTGCTGCAATCCATCATCAATTCGACATCGTCTACGGCACAACGCTTTGGATCGTCACAAAGGGAGGAGACGACCTTCTTGAGCGCTACAAATCGTTGACAGGCAAGGAAGGAAGGCCAGAGAACAAAGCATTCAACACGTTACAGGATAGTTTCAGGTCCAGCCTCGCTCCTCATCTCTTGTTCTGTCACTGGTCGACGATGAACTGGCGGTGGCATATTCTTTGGCTTGAATCTGTGGTACAAAAAGAGACTTCGATGGCCGTCCTCGGTCTCCGCGGATCGGGCCGTGCGCAGTACAGCTATACTCTCCGACATCTCCAAACCGTTCAGGGCCGGGAAGACCAAATCAATGAAGCCATTATGGTCCTAGAAGCCAATGTGGACGTCATGCAGTCTCTGTGCAAATTCTACGAAGGCCTGAGAACTAAAAAGGAGATACCCCAGACCTTGAAAGACGGATGTGACGCCGACATAGCCACCTTTATCGCGCAGACCAATGACATGATCTCGAACCTGAAGCTGCAGATTGTGCGGGCCAATCTGCTGGTCAAGATCACTAAGGACAGGAAAGAGCTGGTGAGTACCAATCATGGAGCAACGGCAATGGAAGCAAAACTGACATTACTCGTAGATCACCCAATTGCTACAAAGCCAAGCAACCGAGCGCATGGAAGAATTGAACTTGAACATGGAAGGTGAGGCCATTATTATGCGAACCATTACAGTCGTCACCCTGGTGTATCTTCCTGCGACATTTGTCTCGGTAAGTACACGAAAACCACCCGCCAATAACTTAACCTATACTGACAGAGCAAGACTTTCTTCAGCACCGATATTGTCAAGTATCAGGATCAGGCTGGAGGGCCACCTACCAATGGTGTGTACTCTGAGGTGGCTATGTACCGATGGTTGCAAGTGACCCTACCTTTGACCGTTTTAACGTTCATCGGGGCATTCTGGGCTCTCAAGATGGCAGAAAAGAAGAGATCAGGACGGGATGGTCGAAGTCAAAAGCGAGAACGAAGGCAGATCGGTCGCTCTGTCACGGATCTAAACCCTGGTACGATATTGCCACATGCCAACAGTGTCGCCAGCGTGGTGTGAGTCTCTTAGGCATCCTGTTTTCATATTTAATATTATTCAGCCTTGTCGAATCCGAGCACCTAGGCTAGTATCTTGGTGTAGTGTAGTAGCGATAGAAGGAAGAGTCCAGCAAACTGACAAGATGCGACCATCGGCAAAAGTGATCCAGCATACCTTTTGGTGAGGACGTGAAGTAATTCCACCCTTCTACATATCTTTCCAGATACTCATTCAGTCTCCTCTCCTCCGAATTTCATTCCTCTCACCCCCAAGCCTCAATCTGGACGATCACACGAACCGAGACTGTCCTCTATCCAAGGTACGTCTTGTGACGGACTGCCGTGCATTGGGCTGGAAGCTTGACCCTGGCAACTGGGGGCATTAGAGACCAATAAGCGAACTCCCATGCCTCCACTTTAAGCCTCAGCTGAACACTAGGCGGCTGACCTCCAAGACGCACGCGAGGAGGGACAGGACTCGAGTGGTACCAGGAAGGAGCCAGGACTCGAAGGCGTCTTCCTCCTCGGTAGGCAACGTACAAGGGGTGCAACGACCGGAAGTAAAGTGCCGCTGAAGTAGGGTCGTCCCTCCCTGGTACTAGAATGCTTTGGATCTAGCGGGCGTCCTCGACCGACAGTCTGAGAGGTATTAAACCCGGACACCCCCTCCCGCAGCCTTATTGCGGTCTTGAGCATGAGTTGCCTCATTTCGGGCTGTCGCCTTTTGCGATCTGTCCCAGCCGCAGGTCCGCAGTCTATTTGGGAAGTGCGCATTCTGGTCTGACTCCTTTGTTCGCCCTTGAATCCTGCCAAATCCCTATTGCAACGGATCTGAAGCCCTTCTCGACTACATCCTCAACATGAACCGCGTAGCCACGTCCTCAGTCGCTTCGGATCTGCTCAAGGAGTTTCACCAGAATCTGGGCGGGTGTTGGAAACAAGACACATATTCTGGCCGTCACTATATCAAGACCAAACAAGTTCAACAATGGATGAAAACTGTGCAAGATGGGCACGCATCCAACAATCTGACACGACTTATCACAGAAGTCTGGCGCCCCAGACACAATTCGAATTTCCCACCATCGGCTGAAAGTGTCTCCAGCGGCGACGACTGTGCCATTATCGTCTTCAGTGTGCTCCTCGACATCGGCTGTGGGGGGCTCCTGGACCTCTTCATCGAGGCTGACATCAAGGACGCAACTCTGAGCATTACGTCTGCGGAACATCACTGGACGTCACTGGAGCAGTCCTTGAGACGCGCAGGTGTCCCCAATACAGACCGTGTTGTCGAAGCCTTTAAGAAAAGAAAATGGTCGTTCTGTCCCGTGATAATAAAGCGGCGAATGCACAAGGACTATGGTGGAGAGTGTGTCTTTCCGTTCTGCAAACGCGAGCCGGTAAATGGCAAGGGCGGAACGGCAGAAGTGTTCCAGGTTCTTGTTCCCGCCGAATGTATGGCTGAGGATCTGAAGGAGTCTCTTCAGGCTTCAAGGGTTGAATACAAAGGCAAAGGAAAGGTGAGCAGGCCTTTGGACTGGCCGGTGTGGGACAAAGGCTGATCTTGCGACAGTTCTATGAGTTAGCTTTGAAAACTTATTACTCGCAGAATCGAGAGATGTTTGAATGGGAGAAGAACGCGTTCGCCGGTCTGGAAGATCAAAAAGGCATGGTTCGATATATCAGCCACTACTCTTTCGAAGAAGAACCCAGCTGGTGGACCCATAACATTCTGCTGGAATTCGGAGAACTTGACTTGGATGAATTCTTTGCACACGAGTTCTCGAGTCCTCCTGTCCGCTCACTCGAGATCATTTCGTTTTGGGAGTCGTTGTTCAAGATAGCAGAGGCCCTTCAACGGATACACAATCTCAAATTCCAGAACGACGGCAAAACGCACGAGTTTTATGGGTATGCTCTAGACTGCTGTCTTCCCTCATCAGCCTCATCCATGTCGCTGACCTTTATAGTTGGCATGCCGATGTCAAGCCAGACAATATCTTGAGGGTCAACGGCGAATACAAACTGGTAGACTTTGGCTTTACCAAGTTCATTAAGAAGGAGAGTCAAGCAATTCCCATGGAATACATGAATGGTGGCACTCAGACTTACGGTATGAAGGATCCCACAACACTCCTGCAAGGACTCTACTTCTAACTTCGTCATGATAGGTGCTCCTGAGACAGATCAGTCACGATTCGAGACAAGGACCCCTCACGGCCAGACCATTGATACTTGGTCCTTTGGATGCGTCCTGTCCCGGGCAGCAAGCTGGGTCGTCCTTGGGCAGCAGGGAATACTCCAGTACGACTTTGTCAGGAAAGCCGCCATCAAACGTCTCCAAGAACAGGCATTGGCGAATCAAAAGGCCAACCCCGGATGCCCAACAGCTCATGATGCTTTCCATAATGGCCGCACAGTGTTACCCGAGGTTATCCAATGGCACAACTACCTGCGGAGCATAGTGCGCACATCGGACACCATCTCTTGCGAAGTTCTCGATCTTGTGGAGACGAAAATGCTGCTGGAAGACCCTAGGCGCCGAATCAGCTCTATCCACTTGTGCCGGAAGCTGAAGGACATTGTGCGTCTCGCAAAAGTGAAAATGGAAGAAGATGATATGGGTAGAGAGGTTGATGGGTCGCTTCTCACTGACTTGTATAACTTCGACAAAGCAGCGCCAGCCAATGAAGCCCAGGCCAAAGAGCCGAAGCCTGTCAAGTCAACCAAGACGTCTGGACGCATAGGCAAGTCGCAGCGACTTGACAATATACCTCCAGCGAAGACAGCCCATCGAGCAGAGATGTTGACCGAAGAATTGCAAATTCCAGTACCTCTTCAAGCCTCGCCGCAAGATCATTTGAGTACTATCTTGGTCGACACAAATGCCCCCAACGGATTGCACATGCATGAGAGTCCACGCCCTATATACACCCCAGAGGATGTGAAGCCCGTGTCTCCGCTTCGCCTATCTTCCACGCCGCAAATCAACAAACCCGCTGTAAAGACGGAGCACAAATCCCGAAGACGATCTGATTTGGTGGGACATTCCTATGCAGCATCAAGCCGGGCTGCTGAAGACGCCGACCAGATGACCAAACAGGTTACAGGCTTTGGTTATATGAACGAGCCTCTGGATGATATAGAGGGTGGTGCCAGCGGGTCGACCTCTGACCCCTTCGACCTACGACAGCCCCGGGACCCAGAAGGGCTGTCAAGTCCGGAAGGTGGTGCCACGGACATGGTACGACGAGATTCCAAGCTCGACAAAACACAGCGTCCCGAGGGTCCCGAGGGTTTCCCTTCGACGACATTTGACAATTTGTTTGTATATCCGGTGATGCCACCGCCGCCTCCGCCTGAACTATACGACAAGTACGACATATGTCGTGTCAGAAGAGAGCTTGAACAGACGCGTACCCTACTTACTCGCAGGTACAGGGTAGACAAGTACTTACAAGACTTTATCGTGAACCGAGATATGGTAGGCTCAACCTGACTTCCTATAATCTGTGGCTAAGATGACTCTAGAAGTTCGTTGTCGACAATGGATCCAGCATGCTTCGATTCTGGCCCGCGGCGACCTATGTTTTGACAACCCTGGCTATGAAGCTGGCTCCTCTTGATGATGACGGCCTGGACCTCGTCTTCACCAGCGGCCCCCAAAGATCTTACCAGGGGCAAGGAAGGCAAGCGGCGAAAACCTTTGCGAATCAGATGGAGCAGAAAGTACCGATACTCCCCTATAGCCCAGCTTTGGAGGTCAAGACAGACATGGCTGAGACGCTCGGTGTGGTCTTCGACGAATACCTCCGCAGCCGAAAAGACAAACGGATGACCCTCTTGGTGCTTACAGATGGCCTCTGGAGAGGCACAAAGGCAGAGAACCCGGTAGGGGCGAAAATCGCCAAATTCCTCGGAAAAGCCCTCAAGGGTAACCACATGGACGACCGCTGGTTCAGCATCTCATTTATCCGCTTTGGAGACTATCCCGAAGCCATCACACGACTCAATTGGCTAGATGATCAGTTTTCCAATGCCCATCAAGTGCCGTAAGTGTCGAATTCCGCGGTGGGTGGGTTTCCAGGTCTATAGATACTAACCAACGTGCCCAGTGACATGATTGACCACGTCCCTTGGACCGGGCCCGTCAAAAAAATGGTTCTTGGGAGCTTTGTTGGAGATCTAGATGAGAAATAATGTCATAGAAGGCCAGGGCAGACTACCAGGGTAACCAGGCGGTACATATTTCGCTCAGGCCAGCACATTTGCTCGCCTAATTTTCTTTTTGGGAAGATGCGCAGGTAATACAGGGATACCTCGCCATTGATGTGAATGACGAAAAAGGGAGTGGAAAGGAAAAAGGGCGGTCATGCACGCATTACGACTTTATGAATTTTGGGAAGAGGGCAAAATAGTTGTCTGAACAAGCTGCACGGACTGAACTTGGACTAGGCAAGTAACCGAAATTTATTGGCAGACTCCTCGGACTTATGAAGGGAGAGAGGGTGGCGTTGCGTCGGGTGCGCCTAAGGTCTATGATGTATATATACTAGGTCCGAGGTGTGGATGACGGAGTAATGTGGTATAATCGGGGGATATGGAAGTCCAAACAGTCTTATGACGAGGGAGAACGCAGGAAGTAATGTATATAGTACCTTGGAAGCCAGCGCAAAAGCTGATGCTTGTTCTCGTCCCGTCAACACTAAAGCTGGTCCGGTCAGGCGCTTGTTCGCCCTAAGCTTCCCGGTAGCGATATAGATCTATCATACACGTGAGCACCCACTGCCGTTCAAAGAGCGGTCGTCTTAACAGGGTATGGCACGAGCAGCGACGATGGCTGACAGCTGACTTGTGTCCTCGGCGAGAACGAAGTCCTCTTTGCAACTGGACACAACAGTACGTCCAGTGCACTCACATCCTCGACGTTGACAACATCAACCCGTGATCATTCCTCGCCAGATAATACTCCTGCACCCAAGGATATCCTGAAGTGACTCACTCCCTCACTCCTCCAGATACCCGCCCCTTCTTTAGCGCCTGCAATGCAAATCATGTCATGGCTTTCATGTGCTCGTCCTTGGGCAAGATGCAACCGGGTCCGCGATAAAATGCGTGTCTAAAGTCAACTCGATGTGTGAAAATGGGCTCCGTCTTGCGAATGTCGTTGAATGCCCTGGCTGTTCTCTACATCATCCACTCATCTCGATATCCCTGACCGGGTCCGGGTGGCTGTGGTTGCGCGAGTGGTGGTGCTGGTGGTGGGTGCCGCCGGCCCTCTCGGGTGTGGTCCCGTTCACCACCACGCCGTTGCCGACGCCGTTCTGATTCGGATGATACCCGTACCCGTTCTTCATCATGGTCTGGATGGAGACGCCGTTTTCGCCGCTGCCGTTGACACCGTTGACAGATCCAGGCGCGGACGCGGCGGCCTTGGCGGCGGCCTCGCGCGCCTTTTCCTCCTTGAACTGTCGGTACGTCTTGGTCTTGGGCACCGTGTCGGACAGAAATTCGAGGTTGTCGATTCTGGAAACGGCGGTGGCTTTTTTGGTGTGGGACTTCGTCAGTAAGAGATTAATTGCGTCGTGGATGTGTATGTGTGCGCCGGTGCATGTAGCTTTGGGGTTTACTGGGGGTCGTGGCCTCTGTTGCTTACCTATGTCCTTGTAGGCGATGTTCCTCCTGGGTTTCCGTTCGGATTTGACCACGTTGTGTGCTTGCTCGGTTAGATAGCGGATGAAGATCTCCTGGAGAAGAAATCAGTCAGCTCCCCAGCGATTTTTGACCGGTGAAGACCGGATAACGCACTGTCGCGACCGAGATCGCAAACGCCGCTGGATTCGAGCACTGCGAAATGTCCTCATCCTGGGCGATGACCTTCTTGACGCGTGCGACTGGTTTCCCAATGGTCAGCAGGGTTGGTCGCAATCGCAGAAGAACATGGGTGATGACTAACGGGGAAGAGCGGTCGTGCCGGTTATCTCTTCTGGTGGTTCGATAGGCGCATTGTTGTAAGGCATAGTCTTGAATGATTGAACCCGACACCCGTTTCTCCTGAGGTGTATCTCCAGTCGAGGTAGAGCGTGGCTTCGACGTTGGCCTTTTGCTTGGATCCTGCAGAACTCCGGAGCGAAGAATCAGATGAGGGGGCAAAAACCTTCCTCGAACAGCCTGGACAAGTAGCGCAAGACGCGTCTCAGGGAGCAGAAGAGGACTCTAGCTATACTTGTCGCGTCGAAGGGTCGAGCAGTGGTAGAGCAGAATATCGTCAAGATGCGTAGGGATGGTTTACTCCGTTCAGACACGTAGATCAGTTGATGTCGAGGGTCAGGGATCAAGAAGTCGCGTCGAGACCTTCAATATGTCATGTTCTGGGCGCGTCCGAAACAGGAAAGGCGGACGACGTTCGGTGGATGTGCGCCATTGGAGGCTCATCGGGGAATCAGACCTCGCCGGCTCAACGTACATGCATATTACTTCTCACCATCGCCAACCTGCGCACGGAATGTGAACACGCTTGATCCACAGACTCGTCCTCCTTCGGCCATGCTAATTGATCCGATGTTATGACCTCGCGCGTCTCCTCTTCCACGTCCGCCTCTGCCTCTGGCCGCCGACCCTCCGTCTCAGCCAGGCGACTCTCCAGGAGGCTCTCGTCCCTCTCAGGCCTAGAAAATGGCGAGGCGCCCGCTCGAGTCGCACCAGCGGCACAGGCCATCACAGAAGAGATTGCAGAGATAAAAAGATATGAGGATTTCACCACGATTGACTGGGTCCAGGATGCCGCCCAGGAACAACTGCGCCGCCTCGCCCGGCGGAAAGAGTCAAAGTTCTTTGAGAGGGACGGCGTCTTGGGCTGGCGGCGCAAGCTGTGGGAGTCCTATGATGCTGCACAAGCATGGATCGTCATCACGCTGGTGGGGATCGTTATTGGTGTCAATGCGGCTGCTCTGAACATCATCACCGAGTGGCTGTCCGACATCAAGATGGGGTATTGCACAACCGCCTGGTATCTCAATGAAGGCTTCTGCTGCTATGGCTCCGAGGAAGGCTGTGACGAATGGAAGCGATGGACGTCGGTCGCCATCGTCAATTACTTCGTCTACGCCATTTTCGCCGTGCTCCTGTCATTCGTTTCTGCCTACTTGGTCAAGTCCTACGCTCCCTACGCTGCCGGTTCCGGTATCTCCGAGATCAAATGCATCATCGCGGGCTTTGTCATGAAGGGCTTTCTTGGCTTTTGGACCTTTTTCATCAAGTCCATTTGCTTGCCTCTGGCCATCGCTTCCGGGCTCTCTGTTGGCAAGGAGGGCCCAAGTGTCCATTACGCCGTGTGCGTGGGAAACGTCATCTCTCGATTCTTCGACAAGTACAAACGCAGTGCCTCAAAAACCCGGGAGATCTTGACAGCAACCGCTGGAGCTGGAGTGGCCGTCGCGTTCGGCAGTCCCATTGGTGGTGTGCTGTTCTCCCTGGAAGAGATGGCGTCTTATTTTCCACTCAAGACTCTGTGGAGGAGTTATTTCTGCGCCCTTGTTGCGACAGCCGTGCTAAGCGCAATGAATCCCTTCCGCACCGGTCAGCTTGTCATGTTCTCCGTCAAGTACGACCGAGATTGGCACTTTTTCGAGATCTTCTTCTACATCATCCTCGGCATCTTCGGTGGGCTCTATGGCGCCTTTGTCATAAAGTGGAATCTCAGAGCTCAAGCATTCCGAAAGAAATATCTGTCCAAGTACGCAATTCCGGAGGCTGTCATTCTGGCCGGAGCGACTGCGCTTCTGTGCTACCCCAACATGTTTCTGAGAATAGACATGACCGAGATGATGGAGATGTTGTTCCGAGAGTGTGAGGGCGATTACGACTATAACGGACTTTGCGAGGCAAAGAATCGGCTCTCCCTCATCGGGTCTTTGCTGGTCGCGACTCTCTTGCGCATATTTCTTGTTATCATTTCCTACGGGTGCAAAGTGCCTGCAGGTATATTCGTACCGTCTATGGCGATTGGAGCCTCATTTGGCCGCATGTTGGGGATGATCGTGCAATGGCTGTATGAGACATTTCCCGACTCAAAATTCTTCTCCGCTTGTCAACCCGACGTGCCATGCATCACCCCTGGCACGTACGCCTTTCTGGGAGCAGGCGCAGCACTCAGTGGGATCATGCATTTGACCATTTCGGTCACTGTTATCATGTTCGAACTGACTGGGGCACTAACATACATACTTCCAACGATGATTGTGGTCGGTGTCACCAAAGCGGTGGGAGACCGATTTAGCAAATCCGGCATCGCAGATCGGATGATCTCCTTCAGCGGCTTCCCGTTCCTCGACAACAAAGAGGAACATTCTTTTGGCGTGTCGGTGTCGCAGGTCATGACTGGCAACATCACGATGCTCCCTGCGACAGGAATGGAGGTCAAGGCGGTGCGGAAATTACTCGATGACACATCCTATTCCGGGTTTCCGATTGTGGAAGACAAGGACTCGAGAATTCTCGTGGGCTATATCGGGAGGACCGAGCTCCAATTCGCGATCGATCGAGCCAAAAGGCAGGGTGCGTTAGCCTCAGACGCCAAATGCATATTTGCGAGTGAACGGGAAGATGGCACCGAAACACTCGCACCCCTCAGTCCGACTGTTACCTTGGATTCGGCGACGGTACAAAGCGTGGATTTCAGCCCATTCATTGATGCGACTCCCATATCTGTCCATCCTCGCTTGCCGCTCGAGACGGTCCTGGAGATTTTTAAGAAGATGGGTCCACGTGTCATCCTCGTCGACCACCATGGTCGTCTCGAAGGGCTGGTCACTGTGAAAGATTGCTTGAAGTACCAATTTAAGGTCGAAGCACAAGAGCATTCCGCGGCTGTGAGGGACGAGTCTGTAATACAGAATGACCGACTCGTCGATGCTTTTGGTAAGGCCGTCGATTACATCGCGGATAAGATCAACAATCTATCCCGTGGCAGGCTAAGGCTGAGCCCTAGGACTGCTAGCGGATGGACGAGAGTGGCTGGAGACGATAGACGACGCGACTTCGCAGACGACTACAGCCACGAAAACGAGATATTGGACGGGACCGAGGATGTGGCTGAGCATGGTCAGGAAGGCGTCGAACTAGATACAAGGTAAAAGACGGTTGGAATCTATAATGTACATTTGCACAGTTAGCGAAAGTCAACACATCCTTCGTCACTATCGATTTCTCTCCTCCCTTCGACCTTCACTGAGAGTCTACCCATATGCATCTTGCCTGTAAGAATTCCTCACCGGTACATATCCTTGTCCTCGTATATACGCCATCATTCCTTCCTAGGGGCGTCGGAAACCTTGTCCTGAACGGCTGAATCGCGCGAGAACTGGGAGTTCTGGCTGGAGACGGGGATCACGCCCTCGCAGAAAATGCACGCCTGTCCATGTTTTAGGTGTCTTGTTCTGCGGCCACCGATACGCTTTCCTAGCTGGGGCCAGTATATGATATACTCATAAGTAGGTTATTGGCGGATTGATAGGGTCAACCTCGAGCAGTAACGGGAAGCGAGACATGTCCTCCCTGCTATGGATCTGTGGGACTGGCCGTGCTAAAGTCACCGTGTCGCCATGCCCGGACAGAACCAGGAAATCCAAGTTTGTACGAGAGTTTCGTGCTCAAAAAAACATCGATCTCTGCCCTTGTCGGGACAGATTCTGCAAGCATGAATTTGGACCTGCCCTCGCCCTTTTCAAACAGGGAACCTTGGTGTCGTAAGAGTGAAGTCGCCTCCTTTTCTAAACGGCAACCCTCAATTGCAGCGGGGGCGCACTTGATGGAAGGCAACGAAAGTAGATAGGCGAGTGGCTTTCGGCCGAAGGCACAGCCATATGTCCTCTGTCGTTCTGTTGCGTGCTGAACTTTGGTGAAACTAGTATCAGACCATGGGACATGTTGACAGGAGTCGTGGAGTCGTCGCGGGCAGCCCTCGATTGCACCAGGTTCGAGGGACCTATATAAGGCCTGCAATTCAGTATTGTTGCGGGCGCGGGCCTTCAGGCCTCGGTTTCTTCACTTTCCTATCCTTCTGCTTCTTTCGAGCTAAAACTTTGATGAACCAATTACTATCTTCAACACGTTTGTGCCGGACGATGGTAATTTTATTGGAACATGGGATCCTGATCAATTTTCCTTAAACATGCTTTCCTTCCGCTGCTTTCGAGCTAAAACTTTGACGAACGAATCAACATCGTCCCATATTCTTGTGGGGTATGGGATTCCGGTCAATATTCCTCAGCCTACTTTCCTTCTACTCCTTTCAAGCTAAAATTTTAATGAACCAATTACTGCTATTGCACTGTTTTTTGGAGCATGGGATTCCAGTCAGGGGTCCTTGCCTGCTTTCCTTCTGCTCCTTTCGAGCTAAAATTTTAACGAACCAATTACTGTTGTTGCTCTATTTGATGGACTCTGGGATTCCAGTCAATGTTCCTCAACCTGCCTTCCGCTTTGTTCGAGCCAAAATTTTGTTCGACCAAGGACACGTCGAGCCTCGTCGTTCGGCCCCGATTCGCTGCCTCCTACTCTATATTTGGTCTAGAATTCCATGGCGCCGACAAAACTACACTGTGTACTCGTAAGTCGGACTTCACTTGCTCTCCTGCCTCTTCATTCGAGCTAAAATTTTGTTCGACCAATGTAATCCGAGAAGAGGCGAGTGCGCCTTGAACGGCTTGTCAGCCTCATCTGTATGCATCTCTGGGGAGAAGAAGCTCTCCGGTTGAGGCTTGAGCTTCTATCTGATTGCTGCTGCTTTGATGTCTACCCTTGTCTCGGGCTGACATGTTTCGTGAGGCATGAAGGGATGAAGAGTCCGTACATATGCATTCACATTCATTGCTGACAAGACATGTCAACAAACGCGACTCTCCGCGTCCCGTGGTATACCTGTAAATCAAGACCATCTTCCGCGAGCCTATTGTGACACCATAACCCGAATCTTGTGCTCACATTGCTAGGCTAGGATCGTCGGATGTCTCCCACGCCATTTCTGACTCGGCTTCATGAGGGCGGTGGAATGACGGTATTTGACAACCGAGCGAGACTGAGGCGTACGACAAACATGGGAGTACAGAAGTACAGAATACGAGTACCTCGTACCCCTGCGGTCACCATCCTTCTGCCTCCATTACGCTAAAATTCTACTGAATCGCTGTGAACCAGTCACTTAGGGCAAACAGAGCCGCAAGTTTTGACAGCAAATTCGCTCAATTATTGGCCGAAACCAACCAATTACACCTCCCGTACGAGTCGATTCTAGGCACACTGGACGGCATCCAGCGGCCGCCTGCTTTCGCTTTCCCTCACGTCCAGCTTCATACAACAGATATGACACCCGCAAGTCCTTCCGTCTCCCTTCGCGCTAAACTTTTATGCAGCGAATGGGAGAGCGCATCAGATGGTAATTAAGAGTTGCTCAAAAGAGTAGAAGAGTGATGGGAATCCCAACGCTTCCTTTCAGACTAACTTTTCCCTGACGTATCAGATCCCCATTGTCCAGGGAACCTGGCTTTCGATGCCAATTTAGGATTATGAACGCTCATGTGAACCCTGCATTCGATCCTGGTGGCGAAACTTTTCGAGCAGCGAGGGCACGGGTATTTGGCGATGTCGACCTTCGAATGTCGTCCCTTTTTCAATCGCGCAAAAGTCGTCGACAATTTGTCGATGCCGGGATGCATGTTCCTTTTGTGTTTCTCCAGCTCTTTCAGAGATCCGAATCCAACCACTGCCGCAGGGCAGTCTTCTTCCTCACATCGAAATGGCCGCTCATGTCGATTATAGTGATCCTCCCGAGAGGACTCCGTGAGGAACCCTTCATGGAAGAAGTAGCAGGAGAGCTTGGCGCACTTGAACCATTTGGTGCCGTACATGTCGTTCAGAGTGCCCAGTCTGCTCCTGTCGTGCTTGAACAATTTGGAAAAATTCTCCAGCGTCGTCCGGCTGTCTTTGAAGCTTCTCCTCAATGATTGAAGGCTAACCTCATTACTTCTGTCATCGGAAAAGGCTCTCGCCGCCTTGGCATGCCTCCAGATGGCGCACAGGAGAGGGAAACATGCCATGTCTTCATATCGGTCTCGATCAGGAAATGACGTCTCCTCCTTTGCAGGATTCAACAAATCGTCACTGTATCTATCGCCGAATATAATGCACGCATCTGAAATCTGTTTACAGTCACCAGGCTGGATGCTGTTGATCATATCATTAGGATTGAGGAGCGCGAGGACATGGTCAATCCAATGCACAACCGCATAATCCTGGAACGCGAAATATCCCTTCTCTGCAAGGTCTGATCGCGAGTCAGAGCTGGGACATTCCTCGAAACAGTCGAACGCAAGGTAGTGCAGACAAAGGGTGGTCGCGGTCTGCTCTGCTGAGAACTGTGGTATGTATCCCGATTCCATGATATAGCTTCACCGCCATGTGTCAGTCTTCCTATTCCGTTCGAGCCAAGGTTTACTCACAAAGCGGCGGTAATGTGAACAAATTCGATCCTGTCTCCCGGCAGCATCTCGACCAACGACCCACAGATGTCTCTGATATGCTTGGACAATCTTCTCGAATGGTCAACCTTCTCATCAATAAGATCGATTGATATGGCTGATTGAATCTCACGCCATCTGAGGGTCCTTTTGCAGCAAATCATCAGAGAAAGGATTGTCCGAGTGACCGCGCGCTCGTTCATGCCGGATGTTGCCTCCATACGGTCAAGGTTTCGTTGATAACTGTCAGAAATGAGCATGGTCTTATCGTTTGAGACTGACCGCGGGCTTGAAGCCACTGAACTTACGCCTGGTCGAGGCCGGTCGGCAGACGACCTAACTCAATTTTGAGATCATACTCGGATGGTTGACGTTCGAGATGTTCCATCACGAGCTTCGCATACAGAAACATTCCTGGGATCTTCGGTCAGCTTCAGTCGATGGAAGAATCTCACGACTCACCTTCGGTTCGATCTAATACGTGGTGCTCAATGAACTTCTGGTCTTCCTCGTTTAGACTGAAGTTCCGCTTCACAAGACCCGCACGATGTTGGACATAGTGCTTAATGTCTTCCAGTGCATCCTGGCTATCCAACCGCAGCAATGTTGCAAGAGAGAGATATTTCTTGAAGTCTGGTTCGTCTCGACTCAATATGAGGACTCGAATTTTCCCCGCACTTTGCCTGTCGCAGAGATTCGTTACCTCGACGAGGAAGTCTAGCAACGGCTTGCGCTCATTTGTGTTGCATTCATCAAGTCCGTCAATGATGAGGAATGCTTTCGGGGTCTGTTGGAGCATGGATCGAAGCATTTTCTTGCACAGTTTTGTCGATTGCAACGGGACTTCTCCGCTTTCTAGCCCTTCGTCATGGTAAAATGGCACAAGGTGTTTTTGTTGCGCTACCAGTTGACTCAACAAACCCTTCATTACCGCGAAAAAAGCGTTCTTCTCAGGATTGTGGTGCTTGCAATAAAAGAAGGCGACGGGATCCGGGGCGGTTTGCCGCAATTCCTCTACGATGACCGACGCGAGTATACTTTTTCCTGCCGGAATTCATTGGCAATATTCTCACCACAACATCAAAGGGGAACCTACCAGCTCCAGGGATCGCAAGAACCCACAATATCGACGATTTGGGTACTTGTGGGGAAAGCCATGCCTGCACTTCTGGATGATTGAGTATCCATCGGCCTGGCCTTTTGCCCGTGTCCTTGAATTGTCCTTCTCTGATGCCGCAGAAGTGTTCATGATCTTGAATCACTGGAGCGGCAGAAATCCACTGCATGACGGAAGTGAATCTCTGCTCAGATCTGGTCTTCTGGGCTTGCTCAAACTCTGCAAATATTCTCAGGCGATCTTCTTCGTACTGCTGGATGTGGAGTTGATTTGCGTGACTTTCGACAAGGCCTTTCTGTCTCTGCAAGTCGCTGATGAGATGCTGAAATCTAGATTTGAAGTCTTTCCAAAGAGATCGAAAGAGCTGACGAAGCGCTTTGAGAAGTTAGGACAGGTACCAAATCTTTTTCAAGGAGCCAAGAAGGGGTCAACTCAGGCTCGGAGTGGCCTGCCCAAAGTTAAAACGTACTGGATTGCTGGAAAATGCGCAGTGCCCGAATGTGAAAGTCAAGGATGTTCGACCAGATCGATTCAAGGACCACCTGCATTCTTTGGTTACTAAGAAAGAGGGTCTGGTAGTTTTTGAAAATAGGCAAATGCTCGGCGATGAGCTGATATGCGTCGAGCAGGGCGTCGAATGAATCTGACCAGGAGCTTGCGACCTAGAAACACCAAAGACAGTTAGGTTCGGAAGTGACATTGCCTGAGGTCTCCTCAATTGACCGCAACTAATTTGAGGCGGAATACGTCTCGGGCCTAGACGGCTAGAGACTGAAAACAAATCGTGACGTACCAGAAGCAGCATCTTCAGAGGGCCCCAAACAAATGCGAGCATATCGGTAGTATTGACAAAGACCTCAATCACCTTCCCAAACTGTTCCATGGCTTCCAGAAATGACTGGACCCTGCCCATGTGCATCATCTTCTTTCGTTGACGCTGCTCAGCCTGAATGGTAAGGATGGTCACTTTCAGATCGTCCAACGTTGAAACATTGAATTGCGCTCTCTCCGAGGCTGTGAGCCGAGTCTTGAAACTATTCAAGGCCTTTGTAAACCCGCTGTCGGGCGTTGGCGGTGGTGTCGGGGGCATGTTTGTCGCTGAATCCGTGACGTTGAGAGGGTTGCCAATCGCCCTGCGACGGTGATGTCGTAGTTCAATCTGTCGTTCGGTGATAGATCTCTGCGATACTGATCGCAGCCAAATTGCGAGGCTTTCGAACCATCATGAAGTCAAGCGAGAAGAGTCAGCCGGGACAAGCTGGAATTTGAAAGGCGGTGTGGGCACCATGCGCTCTTCATGCACCTCCGCCACGAAGAGGCTGCGATGTCTGCCTTGTTGCCTGTTTGCCGTGATAGCTTGCGAATCAGAGGCTCTCAGCCGCATGGTCATGTGAGTGAGACACTTCCCTTGATTCGATTTGGCTGGGGCGCAGGGCTAGCATGTTGGCACCTAAGTGCAGCCCGAACATAAGGCTGAAGACCAAACCATATCAGCCAGATCAACCACCAGCAGTCCGAACACACTAATCCAGACGTTACGTTGGTGTGCCAACCACAATTATCGATGTCTATGGAATCAGAGTATTGTCCCTGGGGGACCACAGATTTGGCCGAGGGCGAGGCCTTCTGGCAAGCGAATATGTATGTGCTGGGTATTGAAGCGTTTCGTTAATTGAGCAGCCTCACTCAACCAGGAACCGACTAACCGAGCTCTCAGAGATCCAAAAACGACAATTTTTGGCTGGGAAGAAGGCTGGGGAGATGCAATTCTGCAGGGTTTCCAAGCTTCCATTGACCCTTTTGAAGATGTAGACCCAATCATCGACACCACAGGCTTGGGGCAGTCGTGGAGTAACATGCAAGAATGGGCCAACCTCTCATTTCAACCACCTGCTCCTCAAGGAGCAGCCGTTGAAGACATAGAACGGGAAACCATGGCCATGGGTGGGATCCGATTTGGGTGCTACGGAACGGTCGGTCAACCTGCGAGAACAATGGAAACCCGTTACTGACAGCCGTCCTTTGAAAGCTCCCAAATGTCCCCATCAAGTTGGTAGGAGATATGACGCGTTTGCGAGAAAAAATCGACTTCTCAACAGCCTTTCAGTCATTTCAAGTCACCAGAGAGGCCGATTACTTCATGCTCAAATTCTCGGAGGACGAACTCTTTGCCCAGATCAACGAGCATGTTTCCCGAGGCCTTGCCGCACTCGATGATGTTCCGTCGGCCGAGATAATAGCTTTCGCAGAGACTAGTCGGATCCAGCGCGTTCTCGACAGAGCAAAGAGACCAGGAGAAGCTACTCTGAAAGTAGAGGTCAATTTGTACGGGTCCGTCGACGAGGCTGGCGTTGTCGGCGACAAACTCTCTACCGCAAAGCTGTTCCTCCAAGATCCAGACCAAGGCATGAAGGACATCGAATACTGCAACCCCCATGTGATACAGTTCCCCGGCATCGAAGAGCCAGTTCCCGAGATTGTGGAAACTGCAATAGTCGAGGAGTCTTCCAAAGCGTCACAGACGGTCAGGGAGGGGGTGGACACATTTGACCATACGATTTCGACCATCTATCATTCCTTGACGCGATTTCGAAACCTGGAAAGAATGCAAGGAGGAGAACATCTCCTCACCCCACTCTTGAAGTACTCCTCTCATCATGCAGACCCCCTAATGAGCACAAACCTGCCCTCAGAATCAAAACCAAACTGTCCTAAACCACTAACTTGTCACACTCTAGTCACCAAGAGACAGCTCTATTCTTCATGACCCAAAGAGAATTCGGCCCAGTTGCGCCAGAATACAGCTTGTGGGAGTACGAACGACATCTCCTTACTCCCCTGTACGTTTCTTCTGTCCCAATCCCTGCATTGTGTGGTTCCACTTTCTAACTCGAGACTAGATATCGACATAAATTGACCGGCGATGAAGCGGCGGAACCTCCGAACGAGCTGGGTGGTGGTATCCTTGCCGATGATATGGGGATGGGCAAGTCGTTCAGTACACTAGCTCTGATTACATCAACCCTTGACGTGGCAACGTCTTGGTCGCAGGAAGGAGCATCAACTTCTCGGAAATGCCGTTCTAAGGGAACGTTGATAATCGTTCCTTCGACCTGTCAGTGCCCCCCTCGGGATTTATGGACACTAAGAACTCACTGGTATCGCAGTGATCATGAGCTCGTGGTTCACGGAGATTAAGGAGTAAGTAGCGGTAAGCGCATCTCTGAACCATTTGGTTGATTAACATAATGTCCAGCCGGCTGGATGAGTCTATCAAGGTCAGCAAGTACTATGGAAAAACGCGAAACTTGGATATGACGGAGTATCTGAACAGCGACATCATCTTTACCACGTATCACACGGTTGCAGCGAGCATGGACAAGAACAATAGTCTGATATTTGGGATAGAATGGTTCAGAGTGGTACTTGACGAAGGTAAGGAAGGGTTGAGACATTTCCTAGTATCCGAAACTGGACCGCTGACTGATGTCCCAAACCAAAGCTCACATGATACGAAGACGAGAAACGACACTTTTCCGGGCGGCGACGCAGCTCTCGGCCAGGTTTCGATGGTGCCTCACAGGCACGCCGATACAAAACCACCTGGAAGACATTGGCTCCCTGATGGCCTTTCTCAAGGTCAACCAGTTCGAGAATAGGGCCGTGTTCAGGAACCGTATAGTGGTCCCATTTGCGGAGGATGCCGGTGCCGCCGCGAAGAACTTTGCCTTCCTGCTGGACTGTATATGCCTCCGACGAACCCAGGAGCTCCTCCATTTGCCTCAGATTGCGGAAAGGTACCAGTATGTTACCTTGTCCAAGGAGGAGCGAACACAGTACAACGAAACGTTGGCGATGATGGCGAAGTACATTCGAGAGAAAGCGGGCCGCAACCCCGAAAAGCGCGACCCCTTTGGCATCTTCCAAGCGCAGCTACAACTTCGCTTGATTTGCAATCATGGAACTTTCCAAAAGCCCTTTACAGAGCGGCACCGGCGCGACAAGAAGGTTGAGCGAGAGGACTTCCTCTACTCCTTAGGGAAGAACGCGGAAATCACCTGCTCCGTGTGTGGCATACCGATTCCGGTGTTCGATGTGCTCGGTGACTCGAAGACTTATAGGCACCCGTGTGGGCACAAGCTCTGCCAGGAGTGTATCTTCCAGAGTCGAGACGAAAAGGAAGCGCAAGGAGAAGGAGAAGCTTTCTGCCCACTGTGTCATGCAATGGTCACATCGGAGCCCAGATCTCATCACGAGGAGTCGTCGCCCGGCATCGAAGACGAGCTGGAAGGATATTTTAACAAGACCGGAATATCTTCCAAGATCGATGCGCTATTGAAGGACCTGACCATGAACTCAAGTGACACCAAGAGGTAAAGCACATGGATCCCTGACCACCCCGAAGGTTGCTAACCGATTTCAGCATTGTGTTCTCCTGCTGGACGCGAACTCTAGATTTGGTCTCCGTTTACCTCCGGCGGAATGGCATCCTGTTCCAGAGAATTGATGGCGATCAATCACTCACACAGCGCAGATCTAACATGGACAACTTCATTTCCGATAGGACAATCCCCGTCCTGCTTATGAGCACCGGCGTGGGGGCATTTGGGTGAGTATCGCTAACATTTATCTTCCAGTACGCTCTGCATATTGATCTTGGATAGGCTCAACCTCACAGCTGCGAACCATGTCTATATCCTCGAACCGCAATGGAATCCAAGCGTCGAGAGCCAGGCCATCGGCCGAGTGTGCCGGCTGGGGCAGAACAAGGCGGTATCCGTGACTCGGTACTTGGTCCGGGGTACGGTTGAAATCGTTCGTGTCCCCCTTTCTATGGGTTTCTATGACCCCATCGCTGATTTCTCTGGTAAGAAAATGCACTCGCAACAGATTCGGAAAGTCGAGCTCGCCAAGGTCGGCTTTCAGGCTGCTGACGACACGATGGCAGATGCCACTTGATGGGATTAGAGCCAGATGCCAGATTTCCGGTGGAACTATGCAGCAGCAGTGTGTTGGACAAATAGCTTCGTGGCCAGTGACAGACTATCCACTGTGCTAGAATGGTATAGCACTCACGGAAAGAATTTAACCTTACTAAACCAAGTTTCCGTTCCTGGACCTAAGCGAGTAGTGCTAAGAATGTGAAAGTTGAGTGTATATCAGGATCGTCGTGATAGGTTATCCTTATCTACTCTCATGGCTAATAATCGTCCACAACTGGAAGCGATACTCCGTCCTTTTGCTGAAAGGCAAGGGCTTGAGACACTATTCCTGATAACCGAACTTCGAGCGTTCTATATCTTCAACGACATGGCAGAAAGAATCGTAGACCTCAACGCAAGAAGCTGTTTCTTTGCACTCTGTCGTGATTACCATAGCTGCAGGCCCTGCGACTGGGCCCTATCTGTCGTGTTTCCGACTTAAGGGCGCCAGAGCATTCCTCGGCCAGACACTTAATAGCTCCTAGTTTTAAAAAAGGAGATTCTTCTCCCTCCCTGATTGACACCCGGTCACAGATAAAGTTCTGTGATATTATGCAGTCACAATTTCGGAGGTTGCCACTGCGGCTCCCTTTTCTCTGCAAACGCCCGTAACCCTTCTCGAGCATTTTCGCCGCCGAGCAGCTTGCGAGTGTAGTCGTCGGCAATCAATTGTACTGACCGTTCCACACTCCCCGACTCCCACGACTGTCGTAAAGCCCTGCGGCTGACTATTACAGCGTCTGGCGAATTTCTCGTTATGGAGCGGGCGAGCTCGACAGCTTCATCGACCAGTGTTTCCCCGCTGGCTGATATTCTATTGACCAAGCCAAGTCGCATTGCCTCCTGCGCGGACACTCGCCTGCCAGATAATGCGATCTCACTGGCGACTTGCAGGCCACAGGTGCGGATCAGCCGTGCGAGGCCGCCGGCCCCAGCGAAAATTCCTCGAGAGACCTCTGTGAGCGCGAACTGGGCGGTGGGGGAGGCAACTACGGCGTCGCTGGACGCATGAAAAAGGCAGTGAGCAAATGTTTGACGCATGCAAGATTGGAGAGGGTCTGTTAGCCTCACCAATTCAAGGTGGTTTCAAACCCGCCCCCGAAAGCATATCCGTTCACCGCCGCGATGACGGGCTTGCTGCCCCCTCTTCGACTCAAACCAGCAAACCCGCTCGGTGGATGGCGAGTCTGCCAAGCTGGAGCACCCTTCAAACTCCCAAGCTCAATGAGATCCTGTCCGGCGGAAAATGACTTGCTCCCGGCACCAGTGATGATCGCCACTCGAAGGTTCGGTTCCTCGTCAAACCATGACCAAAGGGCGTCCATCTCCCAATGTCCGGCCCAGGGAATGGAGTTCATTTGTCTTTCGCGATTGATGGTCACCAGTAATATCCAAGGAGCAGGATATGAGAGCAGACAGCATTGTACCTCCGGTGGACTCGTTGAAGGGGGAAGGGGTCTTTCGGTTGATGCCATCGCTATGCGGATTCAAGTTTTGGTCAATTGCCCAAGCTGGATATTTGATATTTGCCCAACCAAGAAAATATTTCGACACCAACGATCACAAACACTTTGTCATTATGTTCAGCCTGTGCAACAGAAGCTTTATAATTGTCAGCAAGCTGTAGACGTCGCCTTTGTTATATTTCCGTGGCTTTATGTTCCTGCCGAGGTGCCGTTGATAAGACTAACAGAGCCTGCAGTACCCTGAAATGGTCCCTGTAATACGCGGTAGGATTGCCCTCCACCGGCTGCATAAGCTGTGTGCTTGCTCTTGAGATACTGGATCCATGCCTTGTCCTTTGGCTAACGCTCTAAAGGATACTAACGTTCAACTACCGGGAGGAAATGCCCGAACGAAGATAGTCGGACTAACCAAGGCAGTTTTATTTTATGCTTCGATCATTACTTTGATGCATATTGCCTACCAAGTACACGACACTGGCTTATCATAAGCGAGGCAAACGTTGAGCTGGGTGCCCTGTTTGCCCGCTACCAAGCCGCTCCATCGACAATTCACACTTCATAGTCCTGTTCGATCATCTCTTCTTCCTTCCATTCCACTTTGCCCAAAAGGGCTCAAACTGCCCCTGAAACCGCTGTAGTTACATCGTCCTTGTGTTCGGCAGAGATGCTATTTGCTTTTGAACCTGCTGGCTGATCACTTTCGATGTTGACAAGATTGGTACCTTGTATCTGACTTTGGTAGACAGCAACCCGATCGCCATCCTGGGGTGTTGAGTAGAGTCAGTAAAAGCCGCTAGGAAAATTAAAACTTGGGCCTTCAGAAGCCCTGATGATCAGTAGTAACTCACCCCAAAAATAGCTGCCACTTCCTCGAGCGCTAAGAATCTCGTGTTCGGGAAGAAGATACAGATTATGACCACATTGATCGCCGACAAGATTATGAACGGCAGGTAATACCGCCATCCAATTTCACTGAAAAAGCGGTGTAATTGTGTCAGTCATCGTTCAGAAGAAGCTTTTCGTATTGAACCATGGGAACAAATGTATAGGTGAAGGGACTGTGAGGGGCAAGACATACGCGAATGCAGTTGGTGCGGCACCCGTCCAAGCGATGTTGCAAAGAGCCTGTGTGGCTAACGCAATGTTGTATCCCTTCGCGCGGTATGGAGTAGGAAAGATCTCTCCCACGTATACGAACAGCAAGCCATCCAGGAATGCTCCGTATGCAACACCGTAGAGGAAGATCATGGCGACTCCACACTCCAGGATCGCTTGTGTAGGCGAGGTCTGCGAGGTCGCCACCATCGCCGCCTCGACCACAAGGCACGCCATGCAACCGAAGAGACCAAGGGCAGCGTAGGTGGGCCGCTTGAACAGATCCACGAACAGGCACCCGCAGATGTTTGCAGCCCAGTTGAGGGTAGTCCACCCGGCTTGGTAGAGCACTTGTTTTTCTGCCGAGTACCCCAAGCTTTCGTAGAGGAGCGGACCATAATCTGGAGAGAAGAAAGAGAAAAAGTCAGCAAAAAAAGACTTCATCAGTACATGTTGCCACCGTTTGCTGGACTTACTGAATATGACCAGAATGCCTGACGTTGCGGTCATAAAAGGCCAGACGATGGCCATGACTGTCCTTCTGGCCATCGGACGTGTAGCAAACATGCCTTTATATGACAAGTCCAAAGTCGAATCGAGTTCTGCCTGTCGTCTAATCTGATAGTACTCGGCTTCGGCGAATGAGTCGTGTGGATCATGCGGGTTTTTGTGTAAGGACTTTAGCAACTTATGTGCTTCCTCATACCGACCCTGGAGGATCAACCATCTTGGGCTCTCGACGGTCCAATAACTGATACACACGAATATGACGGGAACAATGCATCCGAAGGCTTCAAAAAGGATATTTATATGTCAGTTTCATGAATCATCAGACCAATGGCTCAGAGAAGTGGAAACAAGATCAAGAGCTTGCTTACCGAGAATGGGACGAAACGCCGGTATGGACCCAGAATAGAAGAAAAATCCATATCCGACCCAAGAAGCTGCGAAATACCCAAGGATCATCAAGACCGTGGCGATTTCCATCAGCATTCCTCTTTGGCCGGGTGGTACCAATTCCGCGAGCCACATTGGAGTGACGCATAGTACCGTGTATCCACTAAGCACACTGTTAACCCCAGACCCAAATATCCATAAGGAAAAGGGGTCGTGTAGCACTTGCCCGAAGCCGCAAATAAACCGAGCAACTATGAACATGGCGATATGGACGGAACCGGCCTGGAGCGCGGAGGAAATGGCGAGTATAATCTGGGCTTGAACAGATACATTGCGCCGTCCCCAGCGGTCCGCGGCATAGCCTGCGTAGAAGGTCCCAAGGACTCCACCGACGTAGTACATCGCATTCATGGCACCAAGCAGTTGCGGGGCGTTTGGTGCGGTGTCCAAACCCATATATTTGAAGAAGGAGGGTTGTCCAGAGATAGTGCCGATGACGGCACCGGTGTAGCCATAACCCAGACTAGTGAGAGAAATGGCGAAGACAACGACGAGTGTGTAACTATTGAAATGCCGCTTTCGAACTTCGGTAGCCGTGGTCATATTGGAAAATGGGATTTTGAGAAACCTAGAGTATTTGCTTGAGGGTTCGATGAGGGTAAAGGGCGAGAGTGGCTGCGGTCCCGTCGAGGAAGTCGGACCTTGTAATAAAACTGCTTACCGGCAAGCTCTGGGCTGGGATATAGATCTATCGATATGGTAAAAAAATCATTCCGTGGAATTAATATTCCGTTTGAAGTCACTAAACCCCCTGAATATGGCGCTTCAGAATAGTTAGATAGTTGTAAAGTTTTGCACTTCAAGTGGCATTTGGTTCTGCTTTCAGCTATGGACATACTACCCGCTCAATCTGTGCCGGTCGACCCTAGCCTCCTATTTCTGATGGTGCAGGAGATTACTTCTTCCCCCAAGACTTCCTGATCGAAAAGAAACGGCGAGTCGAACCTAGTTCCCTGGCGACTCAGCGGAGCACTTCTATTTTGTAACAGGCACGAAGGCTGTGGCTTCCTTATGCCGGCGGCTGGCGCGAGATGCATCAATTCTCATGATCTCTTGGATATCTATGCTAAAGCAGCCAGAATACTTAGAGAGCTGGTGGAGAATTGTGTAGTGACTTGTCATGAGTTGCCTCCAGAGTGAGGACGATATTTCCTTCGCAGATAGCGTCAAACTATCTTCCAGCTGAAGTGTGAGACTTGGAGAGTTTCCACTCAGCTATAATTCCGTTTGGCACCGAGGCATCTGGCCAGCCAATCTGCTGGAAGTTTGTTTGAACCCAATAAACAGACTGGAAACTTCGTTGGCTGGTTTCTGCCCTGCGTTTACGACCTGATCCAGTCATAAAGCTCGGCTAATGATATATGCCCAAATGGACCATGAATTGCTGCTTGCCAGACAACTCGGCAAACACGTTTCACTCATTCTCGCGGGGTGCATGAGCTACCTAGGTTCCTCTCTCCGCAACGAACCCCGTGGGGTTTCGTCACGCATGAAGACATAGAGGCATGTAGTCGAGGCTTAGTGTACGCTAGTGATCACCGTTTTCATGCCTCGCAGCATCTCTCAAGTTTGTGACCCTTCATGTCTTTTTGTTTGCTGATCAGGCAAGAGAAATTACTTTTAGAGACAGCATTGCAATATGGGAAAGCATGTTTCGAAATATAACGCCATCGTGAGTGAACGAAGTTCGAGCATTGTCCTGTGTTTAGAGATTTATTGACGCTGTAGATAGGTGGCAGCGTCCTCAATGGTTGGCTCCATTCTTATGGGCTACCAGTCTGGGATAATAGGCAGCACTCTTGGTCAGGTGTCGTGGTACAACGAGCTTGGGCTCGCTATGGTACCAACAATGCCAGGATACAGCCATACGACCACCATAATCAGCGCCAGCAACGGCGTCTTCTTCGCAAGCTGCATCGTTGGATGTATCACGATCTCCAAGGTTATGAATACCGCCGGGCGCATCCGCGCCTTTCAGTTTGGCATCTTTTGGCACATTGTTGGCAGTGTCGTCCAGTCTGCTTCCATGGACCAAGGGATGTTCCTTGTTGGACGCGGGCTCACTGGTGTGGCTGTCGGCTGCTCTGCCGTCACTGGACCGACATATCTAGCGGAAATTGCTCCTCCATTGTCGCGAGGCCTCATGGCCGGGATGCACGGAAGCGGTCAAAACACGGGATACTTCCTTGCCGCGTGGGTGAGTCTCGAAACCCTCCCAAACTCTATATGTGACTTGATTCATCAGCTTAAACTTGATTCAAATCGTAGATCGGTTTTGGCTGTTCCTACAGCAAGACTACAACAACATTCGGCTTTCGTTTTCCTTTGGCAGTCCCAATACTCCTGGCACTTTTACTGCTGGGTAGCACCTTCTGGCTTCCGGAGAGCCCTCGATGGCTGATATCCAAGGACAGAACAGAAGATGCCATGGCAGTTCTAACAAAACTACACCAAGACAAAAGAGACAGTGATAACACCTTCGCAAGAAAAGAGTACCAGGAAATCCTTGGGCAATTGGCTCTGGAGAAAGAAGCGCAAGGTTCTACATCCAATTACCGTCTTCTCTTGACGCACCGAACCTATTTCATTCGGGTCCTACTTGCAATCTTGGTCACTGCAGGTATTATCAACACGGGCGTTCTCGTCATCAATAGTACGTGAAAATCAAGCTACGGGCGTGGGATTTCTGTATTGTTTTCTGCTCATTCTACTGACCTTTTTCTCGTTAGACTACGCTGTCCTCATCTATACTTCCTTAGGTCTATCTAACACTATATCACTCTTGTTGTCAGCAGTTTGGCTGACCTTGGCGACAATATACAACTATATCGGCGCCTATTACTCAGATCGAGTTGGCCGCAAACAGAGCTTAGGTGAGAATATCTCACAAGTTCCCTGCCTGTATTTTTGCCTTCTACAACTCGTGCTGATCGAATTTCCAGTGATTGGCTATTCTGGCAACATCATCTGTTTAGCGCTCTTTACCGCATTCCTTGCCAGATTTCAAGCCACAAATAAGAAGGGCTATGCCACGGCAGCAGTGTTCTTCAACTTTCTATACGAGTTCTTGTAAGTTTGAACCCTGCCATCTTGTGAGAATGCGGATTATTCTTTTCCACATGCCTTCACTACGTATATAACTAACTGACTCACGATAGCTTCGGTCTTGGGATCGACCCCCATGCTTGGGCTGTCGTCGCCGAGATCTTCCCCGCCCATCTACGCGCTGACGGGTCTTGTATCGCCATCGTGTTCTTCTATATCTATAATGTGGTATGGTCTGAGGCATCTCCGACTGCGTTCGTCAATATTGGATGTAAGGCCATCATTGTTGAGCCTTGGGACATTCCCTGCGCTCAGTCTGCCCAATTGGATTTCGGAATACCTAACAGATTGCAGGGAAATCTTACCTAATTTTCATCTGCCTATCAACTCTGCAGGCAGTTTTAATCTACTTCTTTCTTCCTGAGGTCAGTTCCCTTGTCCCTTTTCGTAGCCATCATGCTAGCGGCCTCAATTCACCCATTCCCTTAAGGAAGCGATCGCGCTGATGAAGATAATTCAGGTTGCCGGAGTACCACTTGAAGAAATGGACGAGCTCTTTGGCAAATCAATCGCGGTCCACCTGGAGGATATTGACGTCAAGGCTGAAGCCATTCCATCTTCATTAGCATCGCCGTCAGTCGATCTGAACCCATATGATATGAAAGAGGTGGTCCAGAAAGATGTTTGATTGAGATGGCCATGGAACACCGGAACAGCTGTCACCAGTTGGATGACCTGAGTAGTAAAGCAGAAGGAAGAGGAAGATCGAGATGTCCTCTCTGCTTGGACTACGTGGGCAACTCGGCTTGTTTTAAAGACAATTTACACCCCTTCTCATCTATATTGCTATGTTGAACTGATTATAGGCCACCGATGCTGAGTTTCGCTCTTGCGCAGTACAAAGGCACAAGATCTTGCCCCTAGCACATCACCCTCAAGCTTTTATAAAAATCACAACATCTTGTTATAGACTGCCTCATAGGAAGAAATATCCTCCGATATGTCTCAAGGACCCAACTTAGGCGGCTCGTATCTGTCATATCACTGATAGGCTTCCGTTCATATAGACATCCGGCGTCCCAGCGAGCTTCCTCAATCCGCTTTCCGAGTGTTGCATTACCGAATGTAAGCGCTTTGAGACGCCATCCACGACAATTTTCGTCGAAGCGTGGAGACTCGATTCATGGTGTCATGCATCGAAATGGCACGGAATTTTGTTCTAACCTCGGCCTCCGTGATCCGCTTCTCATCCCCGCGGATGTTCAATCTATAGCATCCATTCAAGATACAAACACGTTAAACCAGGTATTTCTGCATCTTTACAGTGGGCTCAATTCCCATAAAGCTACCATTCTCTCAAGTTCACATCAGGGACCGCATCAGACAAGCATATCATTTACATCTTTATCATGGCCAGGGCGACTCCAGTCATCATCGGAGTCGGAGACGTAATTAATCGGTCGCGAAAGGTGGAAGATGCGATCGAGCCTTTGGAGCTCATCCGGCAGTCAATCGAAACCGCGATCAAAGACGCCAATGTACCAAAGGCAGTTGAAGCCAAACTGCGAGCGTCGATTGACAGCTTGGATGTCGTCCGCACCTGGACGTGGCCGTATGAGGACTTACCGAGTGACATTGCGAAAGCAGTGAACATCAAACCAAGCCACACGTTCTACAGCCAGCATTCAGGAAAAGAAGTAGCGAGGCTATGCGATGCAGCGGCCCGCAGGATCTCATTTGGAGAAATCAAGGCCGCTATAGTAACGGGAGGCGAAGCCCTGGCATCTCGTATGTCTCCAAGAAACACATTCAGCAACATATCAGATTTAATAGACATTTACTGTCCGGACTAGTGAAGAACGAGAGGCTGACGACTAATTATTGACATCTACAGTTGCTGCGTGCGCGGCAGCCAAAAAGCTACCCCCTCCGGGTTGGACGAAACTTAACCAAAAAGTCGACTCTGTATTTTCCCCTACCGAAACTGAATTGAAAAGCAGTAAGTCACCGTCTTCTAAAGTTTTCTGGCATCTGGATGGTGTACTAGAAGTGCAGTTGACCAATTTCAAAACCACAGAGGCCGGCACCCTTGCCTCGACATATGCAATCGGGGCGCCAATTCAGGTCTACCCGCTTTACGAGAACGCGTTCAGAGCTCATCGGGGCCAATCTGTTCAAGAGAACCACAAAGAATCAGCCCGGCTATACGCAGAATTTGCTCAAGTTGCAAAGGGCAATCCATTGGCTTGGAATTATGGGAAGGCAGAAAGCGAAGAAACTATTGGGACGGTAACAAAACGGAATCGAATGATCTGTTTTCCCTGTACGAATGCTCATCTAGGCGCACACTGCATTTTCCTGATCACTAACATGTACCTCTAGATCCTCTTCTGATGAATGCGTTCAACACGGTCAACCTCGCCGGGGCATGTCTGCTAACATCCGCTGAGTTCGCCAAAGAGCTGGGCATTCCTGCCGACCGTTGGATCTATCTCTTGGGAGGTGCCGGGACCCAAGACAGTACCGATTGTATGATGAAACTTGCAATCTCTTGAATTCAAACTCACACGCTACAGTCTGGGATCGCCCCAACTTCTACTCGAGCCCATCCATCTCGTTGGCGCTGGATGCAGGCCTGGAGGCCTCCGGGCTTAAGAAGGAAGACATCGACTTTTACGACTTTTATTCGTCAGTCATTTTCCAACAACTTCCCAGTGCCTCTGCCACACGAAGACATCGTTGCTGATACTGAGACCATAGTTGCTTTCCTATTGTGCCAAAACTCGCCGCTCATCATCTTGGATTACCTATAACAAAGTCACCGAAGCCGATTACCCTGCTCGGAGGACTAACATCATTCGGTGGAGCGGGCAATAACTACTCGATGCACGTATGTACCATCCATTTGCGACGAAAGCAGTTTGAAGGGTGGCCACGATCTGACCGAAATGAGTTCAGGCAATAACCGAGATGGTTAGAAAACTGAGAAGAGGCGATGGAACGTACGGTGCAGTCCTAGCCAACGGTGGCGTGGTCACCTACGAGCAAGTCCTCTGCCTTTCTTCACGACCCAGAAAGCACGGTCCATACCCCGACAAAAATCCACTTCCGTCGGTAATACCCGCGATTCCTGCGCCGACTGTGGTCGTCGACGCGGAGGGTGAAGCAGTTGTTGAGGTAAGTCCAGCCTTGCTAGTCGGTTCATTCTAGTCATGTTCCTGAGTACAACTTTGAATTTAACACTGAACGCAATCTTTCAGACATACACCGTGGACTTCAGTAGGGATGGTGCTCCTATCCGAGGACACATAATCGGCCGGTTGAAGAGCAATAATCACCGCTTCCTAGCGCACCATGGAGACCCTTCAACTCTACAGCAGCTTGCCAGTTGGGTGCGTGAGCCAATTGGGAGGAGTGGATGGGTGAGGAAAGACTCAACAAGCGGGAGGAATTTGTTCAGCTTCGAGACAGGGGAGAAACTGTGATCTAGACTTCTATCCCGGTACACTTGAACATTGATGTTTCCCTAGCTTCTAACGGGCCATCAGAGTTTCAAGAGACTCTTTGCATGCCACCGAAATCCCCATAAATGGTGCTCTGCTCGAACGTCGTCTTCCATTCCCAAGAAGTAATCAATCTTTTAGGTGATTGGGCTACACGCCCGAGGTACGGAAATGCCAAAGAGGGTAATTCCGGAGCTTAGCCCGTCTTCCTGGGCCACTCGAGATTGTATCTACAATCCATTATGCTGATGTCCACGGCGTTTACCTCCATGTTGACCCAGATCAAGCGAGGGAGAGATTCTGCTATCGGTCAGAAGTCCCCATTGTCACGGCCAAGCTTGATTGGTGACCCTCTGAGAACCTATATTCCTTACCTTTTATTTCTACTTACAACATTCTACACATTGAGTCCCGCGCTGGCGTCAGGCTGTTGTTCTCGACTTGTTAATCATGGAGCAGATGCTGGTTGGTAAGTACTCTCGTGTACATCCTGGACATCATAGGCGAAACTTTCACCCTAATTAGCAACAGGAGCTGCAGCCACTGGCCTTCTGGGCCTGTATCTCAATGCGAAGACGCAGCTGTCAGAGGATCTACGACTGTTGACTGCGACTAATAAGGTGGCGGGAGAAATGGCAAAGGCCGGTCAGTTGGACGACTCGCTTTTTTGATTTCACGCAGGAAGCAGGCTGACTTAAATCACCGTTTGTGATCGAGCAGAAAAATCGGGTAAGATGTCACTGTTTCACGTCCTGGAAGACAATGTGCGCCGGACGCCTTCAGCACCATTCCTCTTCTACGCGGAAAACGGCCATTGTGAGACGTATCGAGAAACTTACAACAGCGTTTGTCGCATGGCATCATTCTTCGTCTCGAAAGGAGTGCGGTCCCGAGATATAGTGGCAGTTGCCTGTACGAATAAGCCGACATTCATCCATATCTGGCTGTCTCTCAATGCACTAGGTGCTGCGCCCGCCTTTGTCAATTATAATCTCAACGGTGATCCGTTGCTGCACTGTCTGAAAGTTAGCAATGCCAGCTTGTTCATCGTCGACGATGAGCTGGTCCACAACGTCCACCCCTCCAAGGACAAGATCGATGCGATGGGGTTTGAGACTGTCATTTTTGATGACCAACGGTTGGATGCAATTGGGGATCTGGAGTGTGTACGCCCTGATTGCGACAATTTGAAGAACAACCTCGCGACGACCTCGTGCATATTTTATACAAGGTACCACCACCTTCACGTGTCTGCTCAATGACATCGGATGCTCACGAAGAGGTTCTAGTGGAACTACTGGCTTCCCGAAGCCTGCTCCCTTCGCCCTGTGGCGATGGTACGGAGCCGGGATCGCGACTGGGAGATACCTACATGTGACCCCCAACGATCGATTCTACACATGCATGGTATGATTACGAGAACATAGATCTCTACTTTGGCTAGGACGAATGTTGCTGATATCTCTCAAAGCCTCTCTATCATGGTACCGGAAGCTCTTGCTTCATTATGTGCATCTTTCAAGGAGCTTGCTTTTGTCTAGGGTCAGTCCGGCGCATCTCGGTGATGTTGCTGCGTTGCTGGAAGTCCTCCCGTCTGCCACCATGAATTGACTTTATTTGCAGACACAAATTTTCCGTCTCGCGCTTCTGGGAGGAGGTGCGCAGCTCCAGGGCCACTCTCATAAATTACGTCGGAGAGACATTGCGCTATTTATTGGTATGCCAACAACCCCTATCCAGATGTCGAGTATCTTGCTGTCGCCTCAAGCGGGAATGCTTGAGAATAAGCATCCTCGCCCGGACATAAATCTAACTGAGGACCTTTAGACTGCTCCCCCATCTGCAAAAGATAAGGACAATTTTGTGCATAGTGCCTACGGCAATGGCTTGCGGCCTGACGTGTGGGAGGCTTTCCGCGACAGATTCGGAATCCCAACCATTCTCGAATTCTATGGGGCATCAGAAGCAACGGCAACCATGTTGAATTACAACCGAGGTGAATTTTTCCATCCAAACCAACCCACTCAACCCAACGAAAATTCCTCAGCCTCGTCTATTCGACTCACACTAACGTTTTCCTCTTTCTTGCAAATGCAGGATCCCTCGGAGTCGGCTCCGTTGGCCGATACGGGCTGCTCCAGCGCTTTCTAACACGCAAGGACTTACTGGCGATCCGCGTCGACAATGCAACTGAACAAGAGATTCGGAACCCAAAGACGGGACTTTGCGAGGTCGTTGGTGCGGACGAGCCGGGCGAACTCTTGATGAGAATCCCAGACCCCATCCTGTTTTCAGGCTACTACAACGATCCAGCCGCGTCGAAGAAGAAGACCATTGCAAATGTGTTGAGAAAGGGCGATTTGTACTTCCGCAGCGGGGATCTCATGAGGTTCGACAGCGATGGCTGGTGGTACTTTGTTGATCGCTTGGGAGATACCTTTCGATGGAGGTCTGAGAACGTGAGCACAACGGTAAGGCTTGACTCGAGATTCTCTGTGCCCGTGTCCCATCCTCTGTGGTTTTCGGTCACAGCCACTGACTTCTCCCCTCCTCACTTGACAGGAAGTCGCCGGTGCGCTCTCTCACTACCCTGCTATCGTCGATGTCGCCGTCTACGGGGTCAGTCTGCCGAAGCACGACGGTCGAGCGGGCTGCGCCGCTATCGTAACCGACACCAATGCCGCGTTGGACATGGCCGCCCTGGCCCACTTCGCCAAACAGTCACTCCCCAAATACGCGGTCCCCTTGTTTGTGAGGCTCATGCAGGAACTGCCCAAGACGGAGAACAACAAGCAGGTCAAGGTGCATTTGAAGAAGGAAGGGGTCGAGCCCGGGAAAGTCAATCAATTGCATCCGATATATTGGTTGAAAGGCGGAGTCACAGCAGGGAACGAGTACGTCCGATTCACGGAGCAAGACTGGAGAGACTTGGAAAGTGGCAGAGTGAAACTTTGAGGCGAGACAACGCTCAAAAGGGTGTCTTCAATGGTGAAATGTTTCAGGAAAGCACCGAAAGGTTATGGGAATGTGGATCTAGAATAGAGGAGAGATCGCGTTCCGAATTCTGATCAGGATCCTTCAACGGCCCAGGACTTGCAAGGGGGTTGAAAGGTTGCTACGTCCAACACTCTATGAAACGCGAATGATATCATGGTCCTGGAGAGTAGCTGGTTCGACCTCAAGGGTCGACCTTTGCGCATCTCATAGCTTCGCCGACGGCTGCACGATCTGAGCAGCGGAGCGGAGGATCTGGTCAGCTTCCTCTGCTATCTCCTTCACGATCTCCCCTGCGGGTTGTTTTGGCTTATTCACCAGTCCCGCCACGATTCCCATGGGCCTAAGACGGTTTCTCGTGGTTAGCGACTGATTACATAGAGAAAGGAACTGACATAAGGTTTAGCCTCACCTCAAAACCGCCTCATCCTCGATTTCAGGAGTCAGTTTCCCGGCTGCCTCGAGCCTGTCCAGGTCATGCTCAACGGGGATGATGCCCCTGGATGTTAAAGCCCGGATTTCGTCCTGCCGTTCTTGCTCGAACTGCCGAATGTAAGGCGTCGCATAGGCGCGAAGTGGCCGACCCGTGAAGATGGTAGTCCGGATCGCGTCATCGAATCCGGCTTTGATAATGCTGAAAGACAACGGAAAGGTATAGTTAGCATGATATGATATAACAATTCGAGCGTGATGTCAAAAAGAGGGAGAAATGTTTTGGAACTGTGGACAAATACTGAACCTTTCTTTGGCTTGCTCGGGCGCTTCAGACTCCTCCGCGGTTACGAATCGCGTCCCAACCCAGACGGCACTGGCACCAAGCATCAAAGCGGCAGCGAGTCCTCGGCCGTCCGCGATACCGCCTCCAGCTATCAAAAGGGGGGCTTTTCCGGTAATTGGAGAAGTGTAAGTCTTGCAAATGTCGGCACAAGCTGGAACAAGAATGCTGTCAAACGTAAGTTGGTTCAGTGTGAATGTCATCAACACAGTTGATTCTTGTAGGGGGTTCTCTACCTGAAGGGGATATCCCCAGTGTGACCACCAGCCTCCCCGCCTTGAGCGCAAATAATGTCTGCTCCTATCGCGCAAGCCTTGTGGACATGCTGTAAAGAGCGCACAGAAGCGGTAAGCAAGGATGTCTTATCGGATTTAATGTAGATATGCGAGAGAGACTTGCCTTGGGATGCCCGACCATGTTCTGATATATTTCCACATCTTAGATATGTTCATTACCACCGAGCGAAAAGTAGGCCTGCTCACCATATAAAGTATGCCGGCTTCGTGCAATCTGTCTACCACTCGTTTTGGCGGGACACCAACTGCCGAAACAAACAATTTGACGCCGGATTCTATCATGATCTCGACCAGCGTGTCAAGGTTTCCCTTCGTATAATCTTTCTGTAGAGCAATTAGACGCATCGCTCGAGAAAGAAAGGAATGACGACAAAGGTGGCGGGAGAAAAGATGCTTAATGGAGAGACGTCACATTCGTTTTCCTGGCAGAGCCACCAACCTGAGGTAGGAGCAGATCGATGCCGAAGGGTAGCGAAGGATCTTTCAGATGGTCCTGTCGAAGCGAACCAATGTCAGTTGCATCAGCCTGGGGAAAACAAATCAATGACCGGGTTCGATCTGTTGCTATTGTACCTTGAGCTCCTGTATCTTGTCTCGAAGCATCTGAGGCGTGTAGTTGACACCTCCAATCACTCCCAACCCTCCTGCATTGGACACGGCCGCTGCGAGTTTTCCACCCGCGGTTTGACCCATCCCAGCCAGGACAACCGGATGTTGGATGTTGAGTAACCTTGTGAATTCCGTGGACAGCATTTTCAGAGGCAATGTTTCTCGCACCGGCCACTAGTTCTTCTGCTTGCCTTTTGCGGATGGTGAGACTTCAATTGTCAGGGAAGGCCGACCAGCTTTGCTTCGAGCTTGGATAGTTGAATATCTGTGATCAACTGACTCTCGCACGAGCCACTCTTAGCGATAGACGATATATAGGAGATAGAGACGGGGAGAGAGAAAAAATACTCGTATTAGCTTGAAATCAACTCCTACACACCGCACGTTCACGCCGGCAGAATAAAGGGTTCTCTCACAAAATCCCTTCAGAGACGTCATGTTGTCATTCGCAACCCACCGTAGGCTTCAATTCCACCCTCTCATTAGAGGCTTTGACTCGACATTCACCGCCGCGGCGATGAATGTGTCGTTTAGCAATTCCGCGGAATATGGTACAGCGCAATTCCATCGGCGTTGAAATGGTCGCCGAGCCGAGGGGCGATCCACGAGGCTACTCTGAAACGGAATTAGCAATTCGTCTGTACTATTACCGTAACAGAAGCGTATTGGAGTGACAAGCCCCACATCCGTCCTGCCCATTCTATCAAGCTAGCAAGAGCCAGGGAGGGTGTTTGCCTGGAGGTTCCGTCTGAAACTATGGCAGGAAAAGAGCATCGAGGAATGGAAGGAGTTTCTATTATAGGATTGTTCTGTATAGAGAGAATATTCATTCATTCATTCAGTCACAGTATTAGAGTGTCATCCCCGAGTTCTAGCCAACGTATCCACGGCATGGATCCATCCTCATCTTCTGCAAAATCCTCTCCAGTATTGTTGGGAAAGGAGCTTTCATCAATGCATCCCAAGAAAGAGGAGGCGGAGTGAGCCAAAGCCTGATCAAAGCCCTCACCACAAAGAATCTGGTTGTCTGTGCCGTCGCTACCTTGGTTCACGGTCCGAAAAGCGGTAGGTGTCTGTTGCATGTTGACATCAGCATTATCGACAGACCCCGTGAGATGCGTTGAAATTGCTCCCGCCCATGTTCGTACGTCAGGCCGAACAGTCCTTAAGGCGGATATTTCACCATTAGCCTTTTCAAACTGTCCAACAGTTGATTCTGTGTCTATGCTTGCACTCTGATCGAAGGTTTCCAGCATGACCCCAGACCGGTAAGGCGATGGCGAGCTGTTCGTGTAACTCCGTGGCAACAGCTGCGCCTCACAGGAGCGGTCTTTCTCGAACTCCACAGAACTTTCTCTACGGATAGCTTCCAGACCCGGTTCCAAGAAGTTCATGGCGCGCTTAGCGCAGCTGTACTTCTCTGTGAGAGCCTCCATGAGCCGAAGACAGGAAAAGAGACCCTGAATGGTTCCGACATCTGCAATTTCTGGACACTCTCGGATTCGCAGAACATGGACGACGATGGAAGGAAGAAGAACGGAGGTACTATTTCACATTGTTAGCATTAATCTAAGAGGCAAAGAGGACCACTTCAAATATTCACAAAAGATGAAACGGGACTGGAGAAGCACATACCTAGAGGAAGGCATATATCTCATCAGATTGTGACGGAACACGGCTTCGGCCAGTGCCGCGGTCCTCTCTGCAGCACGAAAGAGTATTTTGCGGTACTGCTGGCGCACTTTATCATTGATGCCCCGGGCCAAATATTGCTCCTCTGCCGATGGGTAGACTTGAGAGCGGTAGAGGTCGTTGACTGCGGTGAAATATGTCATCTGCAGCATTATTCTGTGGAGTGTCAGACTTGAGTCGGCCACTGTAGAGAGCTCTTCGTCCTTCTTCGTCCACCGCGCTTCTTCCCTTAGATCATGCAACCACCCCGACAATTGCGCCGCACAATCATTTGTTTCGAAAGTCATGACACCATGGGGAGTAAGAGGTTCTGACATTTGTGATAGTAAAGTGTTTGCACGACAGATAATCGTTGTTGAATACCGGGCTGAAAGCGTCCGGTTGATGCAAGAACAGAGTCTGGCCATTTCAACAGTAATAATTGCCAATATGCGATCCTTCTCTGTGGTTCCGCAGGACTGATCTTCAGGTGAGCTGGGGAAATCGAAATCATCAAGGTTGAGTGGTGTTATGTCGTACTCGTCGATTCTGAGCAACGTCGTGCACCGTATACCCACTGCAATGATTGTTTCTCTCATGAAACAGCACCACCATAATCTTCGCAGCATTTTGATCTCCGAGTGGTTACCCGAAGATTTAACAATCTTTCCATAGAGATCCATCGTCTGTGCATGCGAAACGGCTGCATGGATCCAGTGCCATGGTCCTCTTTGATCGTCCATTTCGACCCAATACGTCAAAAGGAGCAGCGATTGCAGTATGGCGACAGGATTTGGCTCAACTTTGAAATCGTAGAGCAGGGTGGCTCGCTGATATAAACAGGTGCGCGCTGCTGGTCGGGATGCAAACCCCATCGCATGAATAACGTCCATATCCACAAACTATAGTCAGCCAGAAAAGTCAGCTGCCCTGGACCACGAAAACAATACCCGGACCATATGGTGCCGGTGCAAATCACCCCACTTACAGTACTGCCAACAAACAAAAGAGCCTGGGCCACCAACAGACTTAGCCTGGGATCATCGTTCAAATCCGCTTCCTTTGGCATTGGATTTCTAATCCTGCTCAAGAAATTTTCTCTGTCAAACAATGGCATGAAGGGGTTGGCGAAGTCAAAATAACTCTTCAATAGTTCATTTCTAATGCTTTCGCTTGGAAGATCGAAAGCTCTTTTCTCTGTCAAGTATACTAGGTCAACGGCATCAATATTTGTTGGAATAGGTCGAATGAATGGTGGGAGATTAGTCGAGGTATTTCTCTCGTGAAGCTGGCCGAGTCTGGGATTCCGTGAGACTTGAACCGCGTTTCTTTCAGCCAAAGGTAGACGGTTTGTTGGTAATGAGTACTGTGAATCGGGTTGCGTGCCATCAACAAAAGGGCGAAGAGCTTCTTGCTGTAAATATTGCCGTCGACCTTTTGATATAGAGCCCGGTGTTCTGTATAGCAGCAAGGCGGTTCAGAGAGATGCAAATCTGCGGGTTCAAACGACTGACCTTCGTTTGGGCATGAGTGCTGTGCATTCGACTCTGTCTAATCGGCAGTTCGTACATGGCGGACCATTTTCTTGCATGTTGCACCTGACCTTTCTGGCATGACACGTCCGACATGCACGAGACGCGCGCCTGGACGGCATCTTGGTCGAGTCTTGGTTCCCTGAGATCTCAGTATGAGACGCAACGCGCAATCCCAGATGATTATTCTATCTTGAACGGAACATGCGTCTAAGATGGGCAAAGAAGAGCAGTAGTTGAATGAAAGTATTGGACGAAACCTCGGGCCAGTTGGGCAGGACGCTCCCTTTTACCCGCGGACTAGACTGATTGCAAAGTGCGGGGCTATAGTCCCGTCAAGTGGATCCAGTGGAGATTGTCTCTCGCACACTCGGGCCCGGCGGACACTGTTTCTGAGTATTAGGCTCCTCGGCTTATATCCAGGCATCCTCCTCTCGGCCTAGCTTTCTCAGCCTGCAGTGACCGTATTCTCATGCAACCGTGCCTTGACGGGATACGTTTTCCTTCACCGCTTCACTGAATCTACCTCCATGTCCTACCTCTTCCAAAGGCAGCCGGAACCTCGTTGTCGCCGCTGAATCCTCTATGGCGGGGGACCGGGATGCGAGTGCTCGCCCTGGACGGTCTTATACTTCTAGCGCCTGTCTGTTTTGTAGGAAGCGGAAGATCAAGGTAGCTCGATCACATGCTATATCCTAGTCGATGACCCCTGTTAAGGATTGTGTGTTTCACAACAGTGTGACAGTGGCTCTCCGAAATGCTCGAATTGCATTTTGTACAAGGCCGTCTGTTCTTTCAGTGTCGACAAGCGAAGGTAGAATATCACCCCAACCTGTTTACGATCCCTCCCAATTTGGAGTCCTCTCTGACAGGTTGAACCAATCCAGATTTCGTGGCGGAGAAAAATCCCGCAGCCTTGCTGGGTCCTCGCACGCGTCTTCCTTGACGCCTGCAAACATCGAGCCTTCAAATGCGCGAGATCAGCAAGCGACTGCCGGCGCTGACACTGAGAGTGCAGCTACAGATGTTTCAGCAAGCAAAGACGGCATGTCAAATGCTGACCGCCATATCGGTCCGGATCAAAGCTACTGGTCGCAGATGGCAGGCGCCCAGCCTTCATCAACTCAGATCGAAGGAGTTCTCAATTCTGGGAGAAGTCCGGAAACACTTACAGAACCTTGGTTCGAAGACGACCTCCAGTGTTTGTCATCCATGAATGAGGAAGAAATTCCTTCTTTACCTGGTAGAAGCAGCGAGCTAAGTACCCTGCAACCTGGGAACATGTTCACCACTTTGGCCACGGCAAACCCAGGGTGGTTGAGAGGGACAAGTCAGTCACTATCCGCGCAGCGATTTGAGGGCGTGCAACCCTGTGAAGACGGGCCGCCTCGTTTCTACGGGCCCACAAGCAGTCTCCGCTTTATGCAAAAGACGTCCATCCCGTGGTTTCAACCTGTCCTTCAAAACAGCCGCCTGCATTGCGAGAAAGCTATCATGCAAGCAAATCTACAGTGGCCCGGGGATTCGCCATTCGAGGGATATTTGACCTCCTTATTTTTCACCTGGTACAACCCATATATGTCTGCGGTTGATGAGGACATATATTCACGTCAGAAACAAGACTACAACTTGGGCAAGGAGACGGCTCTCTATTCACCAGCACTAGAGAATGCTATTCTCGCCGTGGGAGCCTCTTACGCCTCTCGAAGATGTGCGAATCTCCCTGAAAGTTTGGACCCTTCTGATTTCTTTGGTCGCCGATCAAAAGCCTTCCTTGATTTAGAGATGGATTCTCCAACCATTGCGACATTACAGACTTTATTGATATTGTCAACCCTTGAAGCAGCGGCTGGCCGAGATTCACGAGGTAGGTTGACATCTGTCGGATTCGAGAGTTAGCTGCGGTTCCGTGCTGATTCTTTAATCCGCCATACAGGTTGGCTTTATTCAGGTAACAATACAGGATGGTAAACACAGCGGTGACACGAAGCTAACTCTAGGCGGACAGGAATGGCGGTACATCTTGTTTTCGATTTAGGGCTCCACCTGGATCCCAGTGATGAGCATCTCGAAGCCTCTTCAAGAAAGCAGGATGGTGGGCTAAAATTCCTGTACAAGAGGATTTTCCGGGCAGTCTGCTCATCTAACATGTACGAATCATGCCTGGCACTAACGATCTCCTTCCTCCTCGATTAGCCGTATCCCTCCTTGTGTATTACAGACTTGGCTAATCCTTGTTCTAACATGATACAGGTTGTGGAGTATCAGCACAGGACGACCTTCTTCAACGAAGAGTCTGATTCAGTTTGTCTCTGCTGAACAAGACCAACCCTCGCCTTCCTGGCAGAATTCCTCCATCGACAACACTGTCACTCATGTTTCGAGTGCTTCTGGCCAAATCGGGGCGGAAGGTGTTCCCGTATATCTTTACCATCTGTCCGTGGAAGTTTCGAAGGTCATGGAAGTCTTGTGCGTACTAGGCGAATCTCTATCCACTGGGAACCTACTAATACCGTCGAGCTATTCGAGGCTTTTTGTACCGAAAGAAAGTCCGACTATCGTGAAAGATATTACATTATCGCTTCACAATTGGTTCAGCGCTCTTCCGGCGGCCCTACGAATCGAGACATCCGAACTAGAGACCACTTCGAGGAGTCCTTATCCCTCAGAAGTAATTGAACTGAAGTATGCCTTTTACCGATCAAACGAACCAGGAGAGACAGACTGACCTGTGAGCACCAATTAGCTTACAATATCACGAGGCGGTCATCCTATTTCTGCGCCATTTTTTCCTGCCCGCTCGCCCGACGGACGGACATTCGCCTCAAACTATCGACGACCCGACCGAGTCCGACAACGCTCGTCGGAGCTGCATCGAGGCAGCTTCCTGCATATGCAGGTTGCTGATTCTATACCGGCGACAATATGGCCTCAGATACATCAACGTCCATGCGATCCACATCGCTTTGACGGCAGGCCAAATTCACATCCAAAACGGCGCCTCCTACATACGGGGGTCCCAAACGCGATCCGAAGGGTACAGGAAGTCGCAAGAGATGCTGAACCTGTGCATACAAGCTTTGGGGGAGATGGCGCAAACGTTTCCCAGTTGTATGCGGGCGATGGAAATGCTGACAGCCTTTCGGCAGCGCTGGCATAAACCGAGCGCTTTATCCGCCGATATCGATTAGAAGTACCCGCCCATTGAACCACAGAGCTTGACAGATCATTCTTGAAAAGGCGGACATTCTGTTGAGATGAATCTAAGTTCATTTTGATGGACCTCGAACATGCAGTGCATCGAATGCGCGATATAGAAATGCACCACTTCAAGCGGGCATGCCTTGAGTATTGTGGTCTAGAGATGGTACTATATGGGCACTGCAAAGGTGCAACTCTAGCAGTACGGAGGCCAGTGAGCTGATGGCTATACGTGTCATTACGGAAGTGGGAGTCAACCGGTCTCCACACGGCGCGGAGAGCCCAGGAAGAGAGTTCTAGAACTACGTATACCACTCGTCTAAAGCGGCGTCGGGCCATCTCGAGATGCTTGCCCGTCAGGACTCTGGGTCGCTTTCTGCCAACAACCGCAGCGACGATGCAACTTGCTCCGATTCTCGGCCCGAATACGGCAGCTCTAGCATGAGCAGAAACGAAACTCGGATGGATGCGTGGAAAGATATCTTCTCTTGCGTCAAGATCTTGGAGGCTAAGTCTTGTATTCCCTCAGCAGACTTCTACACTTGCTTTGTCACCGGCGTGCTTACCAAGCCCCGAATCAATCTCCTGTGGAAAGATAGGCACGACATCTACGGCCTGTATCGAGGGCAGCCTTCTAAGAAGAAATCACCATTATGAGTTAAGAAGGAAAAGATTGTGATTGCGAGAGTGGCATCGAACTTGAGAAGACCCAGGACAAGATTGCCTTGCCCGCCCGACGCCAACTACTATCTCCGTCGACCGATACTGTTCATGCAGATACAGCAAGAATCTCTCGAGGCCCTCGACGCCCCATTGGAGGGGATCTATTCTGAGAGTTCTTTTAGCTCAGGCATTGCATAGGGAGACTGAGGACGGGTGTCTCCAACGATCGGGCGTGGCACCAGGCCAGCGCTCTTGAAATGAAACGTTCCCTCAAACCCCCTTTGACACAACCGAGTGGGTTACAGGATGTCCATAACAGAGGAGAGATTCAGAATGTAGACAGTTCATGCTACCACAGTCCACTCATTATGGGTGTAACTTGCAACCAGGACATGGGGCAGGAGGTTGCACGCTCTGATAGACATCAGGCCTTGGCTTTCCGGACACATTCAAATACCCGACAGCCCCTTTATCCAACCTGAAGATAGCATGGTCGACCAAGGTCATTGTGCCCGGCACCAGCATATGCATGTCGACGATGGTGGCGCCCCCAGGGGGAACGCTGAGCGTCGAGACGAATTGCCCCGGAGGACTCAAAACATCGCCGTCGCGGTAGGCCCTTCGGAAGTTGCCGCCAATGACATGGAAGGCGCTCGTCAAGTTGGGGCCGGCGTTGCCGAAAAAGATACGCACCGTGTCATTCACATTGGCCTTCAACGGTCGGTCGCGTGTCAGCGCAGACTCCTTGCCGTTGAAGAAAACCGCCTCGGGTTCTTCGCGCAACGCGTTGGGATAGGAAAACTCGACCTCGGACGCCCGCCTCCCGTCGTCGGTCACTTCCGGCGGCTCATGGTACCATTCGCTTTGCATGACGTAGTATTCCTTGTCCACGGGTGGGAGGTCGCCCGCTGCCGGCTGGACGTACATCAGGCCGAACATCCCGTTCGCGATATGGACGGGGACTGGCCCGGCTGCGCAGTGATAGACAAATAGTCCTGGGCACAGTAACTTGAACCTGGCTGTTTTGGACTGTCCTAACTCGGTTGTCGTGATAGCTGAGCCGCCTCCTGGGCCCAAAAATGCGTGACTGTCAATGTTGTGCGGCATACCCGTCTCGTCTTTGTTGCTCAACGTCAACTCGACCACGTCTCCTACTCTTGCCCGTATGAACGGACCTGGAACTTGATCATTAAACGTCCATTGTTCGTATTTGTAGGCCCCCGTCAGTTGAGTCTTCTTGATTGCTGTGGTAAGATTTACCTTGAGGACGACAGGATGGTCGCGAGTGATGCTTGGAGGAACGTCGGGTGCGCTGGTGAGGATGGCTTCCTCTATGGGTAGTTTGGCAATGTCCAGTGATTCGTGCTCAAGCTGGGCATAGACGTCCGCCAGATGTCCTGTTGTATCATGGACGACGTGCTTGACAGTCACAGGAGCTGGGTGTGGCACTAGCCGTTTATCATGACCGTGGATGTGACCTCCGCCGTGTTGCTTTTCGAGGGTCCCTCCTGGAGGTGCTTCAGCATGTGCTCGGCGGAGCGGAAGGTTAAGCAACAAGAGGCTGCCTGTGCCAACTAGCGCTGTCGCCAGCACAATTCGGCTTTTTTTTAAAGGGGCCATCAGGGCAAGACCTGGATATTTGTCTAGATTTTGCGCTGTGGAATGCACTCCATCTCACAAAGGCAGGCCTTGGTCTGAAGGTAGTGGATGTGCCGGTTCGAATCCGCACAGTCCTTGGCCGAAAGTAATTCATGTTAAATATTGAGGCTGAACAGCATTTCGATAGCGTCCTGGCCTTCTCACAAGAGGACGTCCACATTGAGAGTTATAGTAATGCATACTGAAAAGTGGTGTGACTTTGGCTAATGGCTCATAAGCCCCGCGGAGATGTTTGTAGAGGGCGTGTTTCTATTACGTGGCTCGAGCCCCCCGCCGAGACGTTTGCGGAGGATATAAACAGTTTCTGTTACGTGGCTAGATCGTGCTCTCCGGACCTAGTTGTATGGGTTCCAGACAGTTTTGTGTTCAATATTATAAAAGCGCTTGGTCGCTTCCGAAGAGCGCACGCTTGTAGTCTGGGTTGCAGAATCGAGCTAATCCATGGCATAGGATACGTACTCAGGTCAGGTCATACATAGACTCGACTCATGGCGTTAGTGGACGCCCTGTGGAGATCCTTAAATGCATTAAGTATTAGGGTCTAGAATACTTGCCAGAAAGAGGAGCATTCTTAGTTTTATTGCGCGATCCCCAAGGAGAGCCCACGCTCTCCTCGGATATATCCAGCGTTGTAGCTTGAAAGGGACTGAAGGTTAAATTAAACTCAGCTAGGCTGCTAGAGCGTCGTCAGATCTCTTTGGAAAGCCAAGAGGCTCGATTTAGTGCTGAGAAGGTATCCACTACCAACTGGCACTTTCGTGACTACAGTCGACACATCCGAGAGATCGTTGGAGGCATCCTCAGGAAGAAGGAATTAGAGACGGTGTCTACGGCAAAGACAGAAGGAGTTGTTTCTGGTGGTGTGTCTAAAGTCTATCGAAGTTCGCTTCGCAGACGGAGTGGCCTCTCATCCTCGAACAGTATTCTCCAAAGCGGAGTCTACTTTGTTTCCCCAAACGTCTCAACATCTACACAATCGTTGTGCAAGCGCTGATTTGACGGGAAAGATATTTGCAGAGGGCGCCTGGGTCGAAAGTGGAAATGCAGTCACCGCCATCGCAGCATCGCCTCCGAAGCCAGCATCTAATCACGGCGTTGATCACATCCACACAGCACTAAAGACCGTCCTTTCCTGTATCTTCATCAGAACTTGAACGGTCAACCCGCTTCATTCCCCCATGGTGCTGTGCATCGGCAGACTCGAGTGTATTTCCTTTCTTCAATAACGGCCACCATGATTTTGAAGGGCCGTTGCTTTCAGCTGCTGCTGGGCTGCTCTGTTCCTTAGTCTTGCTTTTTGTCGCTGCCCCGATCCCGCCGAATGGCCACCACTGCTTTGTGTCGCCTTTCTTTGTCGCTCGAAGACCTCTTGGGGGAGATTCAGCCAGTTGCCGTTCGCAGCCCTTGACATGGCGTTCAAGCACATCGATCATGTCTTTGTTCTTCTCTCCCTCAAGCCACGACCGCGCTCTCGATAGGTGGATAGGGGAAGACCGTCCCCTAGCCCTCTTTTCGCTCAATAGTATGTCGAGAACATCGGCACGTCTGTGGAACAGCGCTGAATTGATAGGGAAATCAAGATGAGGGGTATCGCGAACCATCTTGCGGATAACGTCGATGGGTTGGCCGCATTCCACAGCTCGCGTCAGCGGTCCGCCCATGCGGGATGTGTAGTTGTGAGCCATTTTTCCCAAGGCTCCGTGGCCCAGGAGAACGTGTATGAAAGGCGCGTTGTCGGCACCCCCTTCGCAAGCTTTACTCAACAAGCTGGTCATGTCGTCTTCGAACTCAAAAAAGGCAATTTCTGGTGTGTGCGAGCAGACCAGTCTGAGCATCTCAGGATCTAGAGGCGGCTCCAGAAGTGCGTCGGCAATTGCACCATCGCCAATTTCGACTCCCGGGTAGACTGAATACAAGTGTTGAACAATCGGCTGGTGTCCATGAGAAATCGCTGCTGCGAACAGGTTGCTCGTCGTCGGTGGACTCTCTAGTGTTCTTTCGTAGTATCGTATCACCGGGCTACCATGCCTGATGCCGTGCTCTTTGAATAGTGTCTGTAGCTCGTCCAATTTACCGGCACTGCAGGCGTTCATCGTTGCTTCCTGCCACTGGTCAGAGGACGCTGGTTCAGGCTCAGCCATTCTGAAATTGTGTGGTATGGGTTTCAGAAGTGACGGAAGTTGACAGAATTTTCGTACAAAGTCGATGAGGCTGGATTGTTATATGAAACGGAAGGTTTTGACAAGTATAGCATGCTTACATTGAGCATTGCAGTCAGAGGGGACAGTGTTGACGGCGCCTAGTTTGGTCGCGGAGCGCCTTGTGCGGACAATTTAGTTTTGTTCACCCTCCATGAACTGTCGGACTGGTTGAAGTCCTTTTTGGATTGCCTGATGATACGAACGGCTGCTTGTAACCAGGAGGCCGCAGGTGGTGGCGCTGAGCGGCTATCTGACCTCTATCTGACCCCTCAACTTGAGCCGCCGACCTGACTTGCCAGCGGCAAGAGATGGTCACATGGACTCGCGTGATCTTGGCAAGGCTCAGTTTCCGCCAATTTCGACCTCCTCCGTGCTCTTCAACTCACGGTTGAACATTTCCCGTCCCTGCTGGTGTCTGTCACTTTCTATATTGAATCATATTCGCATAGTCCCCGCCCGGGCTTTGATCAGCCACCCAGTCTTTTGACCTCGAGATGTGCGCCATGTTTTTTGGCTTCGATCTTCGACTTGAACCTCGCAGCTCAAACACTTGACCTAACGATATCGGGCTGGCCAATCTACTTGGCCGGCGCTAACTATATTCTCCTGTTGAGGATCACGGCCTTCGTTTTCAATAGTCAGCAGCAAGCTCTCTGAGCTACTCTGACGACGGAGACGGATCGTTCTCCTCCCTGTCCTAAAATTCGAGGGGTAGAGTGAAGCAAATAGAAAGTTTGGAGGGAAGTGGGTGGCTTCAAAGCGCCGTGGCCTGGGCGAGTTGCGCGTCACCTCCGAGCGGATTTTGATCAGATTTTTACGCCATTCCAAATCTGAGAAATTTCATGCTTCCGATATGAGAGGTTCTGGATCTTAAACTTTCCAGAACCACCCTTAGGAAGTGCACCTCACGTGCAGAAGCATTACAGCGCCAACGGACGACGCTTCGGAAGCATCGTTCAATGAAAACCCCATGCACGCACGATGACTTCATTCCCCGAGAAGATCCAAAATCAGTCGCGCATTCCGTCGACTAACGGCAGCGACAGAACTTGTTCCAGGCACCAAAGCTCACCGATTGTGTTTCTCGGAGATATAGCAAATACATGTCTCCGCAGAGCGTGTACGGAGAGTTTGGGCTGACAACTGCTTATAGCCAAACGTGGAAAAGTATCCGAGGTATGTCGAGTTCTGAAATCTCTCCGTCGATGCAAGTTGCAGCAAGGCACATAGAGCAAAACGGTTTAAAAAGAGTCCAGTGAACTCTGAACCGTCGAGAATGTCTTGTATATCTATCCATCTCTCTGTTCACACACCCTCTCGCAAGATATACATTGCAGGCTACCATTGCCAAGATGGCCCGTGATCAAGCAGCTTCACGTCCAGTCCGAACTCTCTGGGTCTGGCCTGGTGGCATATTCCCACGACGCGTTGCCTACTACATCAAAGCGAAATCCTTAACAGCCGACCATCTCAACCGTCTAGGGCTGACCCTGATCCCCTGCACTGTGGACCTAAAGTCTCAAGATCTGGCTCTGGATGCCATCCCAGGCTATGAGAAACGACCCAAGGGCTTCTCACTTCCCGTCTTGCGCATACAAGACCTCGAATCACCCAACCATAGTGAATTCATCGCCCAGTCCAGCAGTATCCTCGAGTACTTGGAAGACCTACTCCCAGCGTCAGACGGGTACCCCAGTCTGCGGGGTGACGACGCCTTCCAAGCAGCCAGAGTCAGAGACATTGTCCAACTCATCAACGAAGTCTTGACCTGGTGTAATGTCCACGTTCGACACCTCACGGAGTTCAGTCTCCGGTGGAGTGGAATGACAGTGGAACAGCAGAGCCCTCAGGCGGGGGAGGACGCCAAAATTCAATACCGCCGCCTGTTGACGACACTCCAGTCTTGGATCGACACATGTTCAAAGGGAGTCAGTCTCGTTGGTGCCAACCGGCCCACCCTTGCAGATATTACAGCCGCAGCCGCCAAGACGTCCATGGAAGAGCTCTACGGCATCGATCTGTTCGACGGCTTTGAAGGTTTGGAGGCTTGGTGGTCGCGATACCAGTCGAGCTCTTGGTTCGTGACAAGAGATGTGATCGACCGAACGGAAAAAGATGGCTTCAACATTCTTGTGAAATGAGATGGTTGCATATGAAAAGGGTGTCCTTGTATTGGACCTCGAACCGGTTAGTGTTGGGCCGACTAAGAGCTTCAACGCTCTTTGTTCGTACAATTTCAGAGAGCAGTTCTTAAAACTAACCTAGGACACGGTTGCCCATGATGCTCTTTCCTTTTCATTTCTATCTGTCCCCTAGGATCTGAGAAAGAGTGGCAGTCTTGACCATGGTCAAATCTATCGCAAACACCCACGTTATCATTTTCACTTTGAGAAAACCAGCGCGGAAACAGGGCCTTCGCTTACCCATGTGCCATTTCATAGTCAGTGATCTTGCTGTCGACTACAATCTTACTCCGAATTCGAACCTCTTCCAGTGTGCTGTGCAACTCGATAACAACATCGGTCCACTTTTCTGCTGGGTGTAACTTGGGTCTCAAGACCAATTCAAGCTCAGTGCCGTAGCATAGAATCTGGGTGCGTGTAGGGGCTCAGAGCGCCTAGGTATTTGCCGTTCGGGCATCAAATCGCTAGCATCCAACCAGCTGAAAGATGTATGGCGACGATCAGCATGAATCTAGAAGCCATTTGAGGTCTATCTACCGGTAGTATTCAAAATTTGGACTGATAGGGTCTCAAACTCATGACAGAATCCAAAGATAGTAGTAGATAGTTTCCGTTTTGAGTCCATTATTCCTCGGTTGATAGCTT